TAAATTTCAGATTAATCAAAATGACAAAGTATTGTTGTAAAAGTCATTAGAATTTGATAAATATTTCTTTACTTTTAAATTTTAACTGGATTCTGTAAGCTAATGAAGTATCTTTTTTATGTATTTACGCTAATTCTTTTTTTCAGACACCTTGTCCATAAAAAAATATGCCGTCATCGGAATATTTCTAAAAAACGAATGTTTCCGATGTTTGATGCAATAGAATGTTAGATGAAATCATATAGTTTTGTATTGTTTATCATCTTTGATCTTTGAGGTAGGTCATTTGCATACATCTTGGACTTTAAAAAAGCATACCATAATAAGTCTACGTCTTTAGTTAGCTAGAATCATCTACTGATAATTGTCATCAAATTTTTACATTTATCGAGCAACGCGACGGGTGTCACATGTGGAGCAAGATCTATTTACCCAACCGGAGCACCAGAGATCCTCCCGATATATTGTGGGGTTCGTGTTGTTCAGTCCATAGTTTTCAATGTTGGTTTTCTTTACTGTTGTTGGTCTTGTCGGTTTATTTAAAAAAAAATTTCCGTAACTCATTCGGTTTGTTTTCGACGTGTGGGTAGATTGTCCCTTTGGTATCTTTCGCCTCTCTTCTTAATATGCAAATATTTAGTCAAAAAGATATTTACGTGTTGAGCTAAACATCTAAATAATGAAAAATTAGTTATTATTTGCATTATTTCGACTGTTATATTTGTGTTGTATGATATTTTTTTTTTAACCGAGGTATATAATTGATGTAACTACGATAATTTCACTTTTGATACAAGAATGTTAAGAAGATTCCATAATTTACGTGTAGCAATTAAAAGAGTCCTGTGACATTTTTAAAAATGTCAAATGAGATTTCCCCATATTTTGTCACCCGTCGTCTGTCATAGTCGTTTGTCGTTGTCCGTTAACTTTTACTGAAATCTGTTCCTCTGATACTATTGGGCCACATTGAACCAAACTTTTAGTATGATAAGTGTGTCTGATGAATCCATCTGTCTACCAAAATGGCTGGCATGGCTAAGAACTTAGGGTTAAATTACATGTTTTTTTTTGTTTTGGCGTACCAATAATAAGCCTGGTATAGACACATCTTCTAGTCCATGCGTGCTTCATTTACTTCGTCAGTGCTGCTGGATCGGTCATACATGATAACCACAAATTCCTCGATTCCACCATTTGTCGCACTATCCACTTAAACATGTTAAAGACTGAGGGATGCTGGAAAACTTCAGTAGTTTTTGTCAAACACAATCCAGGCCTGCCATGCTGACTTTTTGCCTTTAACAACAAAAGCAGAAACCGTGTCAGAAACAGGGAATAAGAATGGACAATGACTTTTGTAAAGTTGGAAATCAGATTCTCTACATGATCTTAGAAAACAAAGGACAAGTAGCTCTAGGTTTAAGATTGTGCCCTAAAAGAGAAACTGCGGAATTCGTTTTCTACGTTCTGGTCACCAAGTCAGAATTGCATCAATAGAAGCGGCATCGTTATTGTCATTTTCAAATTGATATACTCTTTTAGTTAATTCAGAGACAATATGCTGTTATTTGATGTACTTGTCTAGTGTCCACAACATTCGAAACTTTAAGAAAGGATTCAGCCGTTCCTGAGGATGCGATATTTGCTTCTACGAATAATGTTACCAAACCGCTACCTTTAAGTAAATCACCTGAAAGTGAAAAAGCTGCCATTTGAATATGAAGATCACCAAACATAACAATGAATTCGTCTCATCTGTAAATATTCGACCATCGCCATTGGATTTGCTTTGCAAGAACAAACACAGGTTGATCACAAGCCATAACTGGTGTTTGTGTTGGATTAAAAAAAAACATGTTACTTCCTTCGCCTTATCCATAGCATGTTTTATACTAGCTAATGCATTGGCCTGATCTTGCAGCAATGGCAGTAATGATGAAATGCTGATTTCAACTCTCGCTCCTTTCTTTTTGGATGAATGGTACGCCGATCATGACACAGTTTCAACATCTAATACCTCATCACTCAAACTAACAAACTGTAACCAGTCAAATTCAGAACGAAGGTTTCTAAAGAGGAAATCTTGATCTGAAATTGTGAGTGGTGTTTGTAAAGGAGGAAGTATTGTTTTAATCTTTTAAAGGGCAGGTTTAACATTGATGCATGACTTGGGAAGGCTTGAAATTTTGTTAGATTTGGACTTTTGTCTTTGAAATTTGGTGTCACGTTGGGAACATAGTAAATCTGCATTAGGATGCTGAAATATAGATATGCCTGTGCCATGGAAAGATGACATTGTAGTTATAGCAGAAGGATTATGATCTATGTTACTAGTATCGAAAGCAGATTGGTAAAAATATCTTTCCGTAATATTGCTGGACAAACAACACATTCTTCTATATATCTGCTGATCACTGACTCACCAAGCTGAAACATTGAATCAATGGGTTGTCGTTTTCTGGTCTTGGAGTACAGTAATAGTCCCACGTAAACGGCAAAACGTGGCTAGCGATCAACTGAATGTTTCTGCTGTTGACCTGGTTCTTTTGTTGCTGACACAATTTCTAATTGGGATATCCGGACCATGCTCAATCATTGACACTTGTTCAAATAAGCTACGTGGAACTGCATTCAAGACCTACTCTTTATCATGTTGACCAGATAATTTTATTTTATGTTCTGACATTTGCTTCCGAACTATTTCAGCTGCAGCAAGGTACGTTGCATCAGTAAAGTCACATGCTGAAACTATTGCTGGTCCCACATCCTTTTCAAATACCAATACCATTTCCCTTTCCTTGTAAAAGACATTGAGGTCAGGTTTTTTTTATAGTATCTTGTTTTTTAACCTTTATTTATTACAATTGATAGAAGAACCAAATTGGTTTAATCTAGATCCATTTAAAGAATAAAGATCAGCAAGTTTGGAAACTACCCAACGTTTACTGGCCCGTTGTATTACAACTGTATGCGTTACAAGTTCAGCAAAAATAATATGTTTGATTTCATTCTCAGGGAGTTTCTTTGTTACATAGTGCAGTGAAGCATCCTCCGTGAAATTTAAGCTCTTGAGCCTACACTCAATTTTGCAAAAAGATGTTCATATTGCAATGTTTATGCACACTTATGGAGTTGATTGCATAGTCATGGATTCCATCAATTCTTAACGAGATGCTTGTCTTTAATAGATGAATCATTCTAGATATTCTACATCTTTGCCTGATACCGCACTAGGAGTCTTCCTGATAAATTTGGATGACACTTCTGAAGAACATATCTGTATGACGTAGACATTTGCTGTAATAAATACTGGAGGTTACGTATGACCTTATGTCGTTTCTGAACGGACAATTTGAGATTGTGCGAATTAAAGATGCATGAAGTGGTGGTCAATCACTTTTATCAACCATTTGAAAGTAACATTTTTATTCGACATTCAAACAGAAAGGCAAAATGACATTTGCATTTGTATTGATCCTGCTTAAAGCTGTCCCGTCATAAAAAATAATAAACTTACTATTAATAGTATAATGTAGAACATGCAATAAATATAAATACTTTTATTGTGTTTTAACAACTGGTACAACCGCTTTATACAAATACTTTTTTTCAAACGATTAAAATTAGTAGAGAATACATGTATGCAGTAAGCGCAAATTCGGGTACGGACCGATGTGTATAGTACTTGAAATATATTATGAAGAACAAAATTAATAGTAATATTTAAAAATTGATTCATTGAAATAATAGTCACGTTAAATCAAGAAAATAATTTTTACAACATGTAATGTATACATATTTAATGTTCATAACATCGTAAACGTCATGCAACAAGTATAAAAAGACGTATTTTGGACCATATGTATCTGATACCTACACAACTGCCTTGTAAAGAACAGGAAAAAACAAAAACTCGTCATCATGTACAAATTCATAACTGTGTGTCTGTTGCTTGCTGTTTTGGGTAAGTTCTTATTGTCATGATATTATTATGTTTATTGCATTTTCAAAATAACTTGTTTTCCTTTTTCAATTTATGCGTCAATATTAATGTCTTTTAAGTCAAACTAAAGATTAGATCTCATAATGACAAGTAAAAGTAAAATTTCTTTATGTTCTGGTTTGAAAAGCATTACTGAATTAAGTTTCATTCGTGGGCCCTTGTATTTCCAAATTATTTATTGCACACATATTTGTTATCACAAGTTTTTACAAAATTGATTAAATAACTAATATGAATAAAATCTGAAGAAACCAGAATTATCTACAATGTAGAATATTTAAAGGGGCTTGAAACTTTTTATAACACAAAGGTGACTTTTACAATTAGGGTTTGCATTATACTTTTGTTGATAAGCAATCAGTCACAAACAGATAATTAAAAAGTAAAACTTTATAGAAATACCTCACTGTCCTATCTTTTTAACATGTATAATGAGTTTTTGAAAACAAATCCTTGATTATCTTGCCTTTGCAATAGTGATTGATTGATGTCATCTGCTTCATTATTATTAATTAATAAACAACATGTCTCAATTTACTTTATCCGACGCAACCTAATATAAATTCTTTCGATTTTGTACACATCTTTATATACAAGCAAGAAAACTTTTGATTCAGCAGATCTGATAAGAATCTAATCAAAATCAGAAAATTTTAAAACATTTGATCATCAGTAAATGTTGCTTTATTCATCGCTTTCTTGCATCATTAATTGATTTATAATTTGATTTGTAATTAATTTATTTATTCATTCATTCAAATTCGCCGTTGATCAATCAAGAAATTATAAAGAAACTAAGTTAAGTTCACCTTAGCTTAATTTGTGTATTCTTTTTGTCCAAATGTTTCTGCGTATTTAGACATCCCTGCATGATTTTCAAATGTTTAGATATGAACGTTCCTGGTGAAGTGTTATTTATAAAATTTATAAAATGTTGTTTTCACTTCCACGAAAGTTTGACGCTTTTCTTAACTACGTGTTTTTGTAGGATGTACGTGTGCAACAGAAGACGCTTTGTGTGCTTGTGGTATGATATATGATCCTGTTTGTTCAATGACTGGGAAAACGTATGCAAACGAATGTGTACTGAACTGCAAGTAAGTTTTGTTTATATTTATTAATGCATTTTACTTTGTTAACACCTGTACGAAGTTATTCTACAATGTACTGTTTAGTATTTTCAAAGAGTCAGTTTAAGAATTTTCAGTTCTACTTTGAAATATTCATAGATTCAGTCGAGAAAAAGAGTGGGTAAAAGCTGTTAGGTTGTTGATACAAATCCCAATAAAAAGATTTAATGGATCTATGAACACTCAATGTAACATGAATCTTAAGAAATTTTAGTTATTATTTCTTCTACTTGGAGGATTAATATGTTATTGTCATCGCATACAAAGCTCCAACAATATCTATTTTATTTGTTAATCGTATCATATGAAAAGCTTGATAAATGAATGAGGTGGGTCAATTTACTTGGAAGTCCAACGTGTATTCCAGTGACAGTTACAAAAGACATGAAAGATGAAATCCTGGACAATCATAGTTTTACGTTCCTTTAGAATTTCAACCATAAATGAAAAACTGAATCTTCCTTCACTCTACCTGATATTCAAATAAGATATGTGTCCTTACGAACAACGTCATATTGCTACTAAAAATATCTTTCCAAATAGTTAACATCTATGCTATTAGCAAACAAAATCAGACTTTAGAGTTACTGAGAAACTACCTACTATAGAGGTGGTGTGAATCAAATATGGATACTAAAACATATAAGATGTACAAGGGCAAATTCCATTGAAAGTCTCTCTCGTCCATTTTTGAGTATCAAAGTAAACTATTAGACATGGGAGAGTACTGGGTATTTTTGTGTGGGAATTCTAAAGCATATGTTCTTTAGACGAGTACTCAGGAAAATCTATTTGGCGATGACTTTATTTAATAAAACCTGATATGATAAAAACACAGTATAAAGTTAAAATCCAAACGTGATAATTAAAAATAATGGAGGACGAAAATAAAATGGATGAAAAACCGCTGTATCTGAATACCATTTAGATTATATGCAAACCGTATCTCCGAATAAATATAATTCATTAATTTGTGTCAAGGTTCAGGATATGAATGTAGGCAAAAAAGATGATCGTGATCCACAAATAAGATATGATAACAAATCAGACGACTATTCTGGTATCTAAAGATATTGAGTTGAGACATAGACACATCGTATCGGACAACAAATTCGTAATGAAGACCATAAAACTTATGCTGTCGGTTATAACAAAATATTAATATTTGCTTTTGATTTTTCTACTTGATACAAATATTAAAAAACTATAAGCATACTAACAACCATTTGCTTATCTTAATTTTGACAGGAACTGTCTAACAGCATCTGTCATTTCCAGCCCATTTTTCAGATTTTTGAAAACTTACATATACTATTTACATGATATATTTGCCATTAAAATCCAAATTTAGCTTAAGCACTATTTTAAGTTGCCTTTTCGTATTTGAAACTTTGTTCCGACACCATTGATTAATGTGTTATATTATAATCAATACATGCTTAAGAAAATATCTCATACATTTTTTACAGTCCTGGTGAAGTTTTGGCAACACGTGGAGAATGTCCAACTAAGAAGTAGTCTTTACAATTTGCAACGGTACGTATATATACAATACTGTCAGACTGTATTAACATAGTAGATGGTTATGTGTTATATCAAAAAGACAGTAAGCAAACAATTAACATCAAATAGCACTATTGCCCTAGAATGATAAAGACAAAGGCGATAAACACCAATTTGTGATATGGCATACATATTATTACTACGAATTCATTTATTTTCGTGGGTACAAATTTTCGTGGAGTGCGAAAAACTTGAATATGTGATTTCGTGGTTTTGCCAGAGTCTGCATACAACCTGACAGAAATTTGCATTTCGTTGAACTCAAGAATTTGTGGTTCACCTGTACCAAGAAACCCACGAAAATTGGTATCCAACGAATAATAATGAATCCATAGTAGTTAACAAAATATATTCAAGATTGGGGCTCATCCAGTGCATTGATAATCAAATATTACTCACAATATGAATTCCTTCAGATAAATCAGCTATACTCTCTTTTAACATAATCCTAAAGGCGAGTTGTAACGATAACAGGTATACACCAAACTATTCAGGATGACCAGGTAAGTATTTTTTTCTTATATGTTTTGCTTATTAATTGATTCATGTATGTTATTATTATTTATGTTCATTCATTCATTTGTATTTTTCATTTTTCAGGACTGGTATTGGATACAAAAGACTGGATACATTGGACTTGATATTTTCTTCTTGAACACATTTGTGATTTACATGTTGATTGATATTTTTGACACTACTTTAAAAAAAATCGCTAATGAAATAAAACGTTTATTAAAATAGAATAATGTTCCTTTTTAATGCGACTTAAAGGTTTTGAAATATAATTCTTGTCTTATTGTAATTTTCATTTAAGTTTTTTTAAAGTGTCTAAATATTATATAATAGCCCAATAGTCAGTACTTTTTTTACCTGAAATATCCTATTTATACAATGTTGAATTATTTGAAATACTAAGGATTTTCTACACCCAGGCATAGATTGCATTAGTAGTATTTGGCACAACTTTTCAAGTGTCACTGATGAATCTTATGTAGACGAAACTGTCTGGCGTACCGAATAACCTGGTATCTTTGTTGAACATTCTTTTAATACCACACCTCGAAACCAAGAGAACATACTTCTGGGCGCCCGCTAGCATGTTTAACCCCGCCACATTCTGTATGTGCCGGTCCCAAGTCAGCAGCCTGTAATTCAGTGGTTGTCGTTTTTTGCTGTGTTACATATCTGTTTTTCGTTCATTAATTATTTTGTACATAAATTAGGCCGTTGGTTTTCTTGTTTGAATTGTTTTACATTTGTCATTTCGGGGCCTTTTATAGCTTACTATGCAGTATGGGCTTTGCTCATTGTTGAAGGCCGTACGGTGACCTATAGTTGTTAATTTCTGTGTCATTTGGTCTCTTGTGAAGACTTGTCTCATTGGCAATCATACAACATCTTCTTTTTTATATTTAGCTAAATACAGAATGTAAAGCTTGTTACTGTGTAAAAACGAAAAATAATGCATTGTACAATAATGTTCTGACTCCTAGGTCACAGGGTAATAGTGTGGTGCCAAAAAAAAAGGCACTTTACATCATTTTGGCACAAAGGCGAGTAGTTATTACTATCACTCCTAAAAAGCGTGGGGAAAGCAAATGCTACATTCTACGTCTTTATGTTGACCTAAGCGGGACACGGGATAGCTGTAAATACACGCAAGCGATGCAAACGGTATACAAAAAAGACTATCTTATAAAGATATATGTATATGTAAGTTTCAGTATGTCCCTACAAATCTTTCGTATGATCTAAGAGAAAAAAAAGAACAAAACGTGGATTATTCCTGAAAATGTATATAGAATGCAGTTTCGTGTATTACCTGGGTTGATACTATTGTTTGTAGACTGCACATTCCAAATGGAATCACCTGCCCTGTTTACAGTACTAATCTGGTGTATGGTACTGATGCTTATGAAATTATTCGAAAAGGATAATGAAATATTATCAGGAAAATGGCCATTGTTATATAATAGTTCGTTTCTGTGTGTGTTGCATTTTAGTGTTGTGTTTCTGTTGTGTCGTTGTTCTCCTCTTATATTTGATGTGTTTCCCTCAGTTTTAGTTTGTAACCCGGATTGTTTTTTCCTCAATCGATTTATGAATTTCGAATAGCGGTATACTACTGTTGCCTTTATTTATAAGGTATGATAAGGCCGCTGTTTTTGCCTCTTGAATTTGCAGATAAAAAAGTATTATAAGCAAATAGCATCCTTCAGATTTTCATGAGACATTTGTCTGTCGGACACGAATGGTTTTCATTTTTGAATTTTGTCTTCCACATTGGGATTCAAACTTCTTACATTTAGGCCAAAACAGCAAAACTATCAAAATAGTTTCATTTCGAGACCTTGTCATTAATATTTAGATATGTGCAACAGCTTAACCCAAAAGATGTCTTGCTATAAAATGTATTTTCCAAGAGTTGAATGTGTGTAAAGTACTTTTTTTAGTAAAGCTATTGCGAAGACATATTTTGACTTAACACTTTACATGAAATAGCCGTTTTAGGTCAAATACGTAAATTTCAACATGTTTATCACGTCTCGGGTACATCATAAGTGACCTTTCTGTACTACAGTTTTCAGATTATATCAACCTGTTCAGTAATCATTGAAATTAGCATAATTTCAAAAAGGCTTGAAAAAGGTTGGTTTTTTTTCTCGAGGAAAGGGTGTTTTTTTTATCTGATTTAACAATTAGGATTTCCTATATTTGGCTGCGACTAATAACAAATGTGCCAACGCATCAACTCAAAATGTGCCCTTGCATCAAATCAAAATTCAGTTTCATATATAATGATTTGTAGATAGACGCTGTTAAAAGTTACGAAGTGTTTCAATGAACTGTGTGGAATACTTAATCTTTTACACTATTTGTTTTTATCAATTACCTGTCTATTTCTTAAACATAAACGATTACTTGAATAAATACAAATTGGAAGTGAGAAACGTCAAGTTTAAAATGAGAAATGTTAACGACATATTGTCCCTGCTGGTCTCTACCGTCTAGAACCTGAAATGAAGCTCTCTGTACAAGAAATTCATTGATTTTAAGCATCTTAAATGAAATGTTGCCCTTCTTGAGTCAGCTGACAGACTTATATTCAAAACCAATTGTTTTATATTCAGTACGTATTCAACTTTGACAGATGAAAAGATTAACTGCTTAAACTGAATTTTGATTTCTAGACATTACTATTTCTGCAAAAGTGTATTTTAAGTTCATTTTGTGATTACCAGCATTCTGAAGTTTGTCTCAATATTGCACAATCACAATTAAAGAGAGGCAAAAGATACCAAAGGCATATTCAAACTCATAATATGTCGAAAACAAACTGACAATACCGAAAAAACGACCAGAAGACAAATCACAGACAAGTTTGAATGGAGCAAATTGATATGATTGAAATTCAATAATACATCATAATTTATGAAAAATTTCGAAGTAATTGTTTGGTCACCATTGTTTATTTTTCTATATAGACGAACAGCAAAAAGCACTTAAGGTAAGTAGTTTGTGATAAGTTTCTACGATTTTGTGACTTTCTTTCTTTCAAATTCACGTAGGGGAAATGTCCACAGAAAGAGGTCGCTTTCAGGACCTGTACTGTCGTCTAAAGAGCCGATTGTTAAGTGATATCGATGTGTACGTCTAAGATTCAAGATTTATAAATTATATTTGGGAGTTCGAGTTTAAATGATCGAGGGTCGAGTTACGCATTGTGCACCCTATGTTGCAATCATAACAATACATGTGAGAAGAGAATTACAATGTAGTTATTTGATTAAGCATTTAACGTGTTTAATGGTAATCAAATAATAAAATATTTTTCAGTTTCAGTTTCAAATCTAGCCAACAGATTTCCACAGGCCATAGGGGATGGAAATATCACGGAACTGTTGGATCAGTTCTCATAGTACCAGCTGTCTTCTGATGAACTACCTAGTTTTGACCAGGTTATAGCAACATATATAGTTTGTTGGGAGTAATGGCCAGCGATAATAGATGACATTTTAAATGGCAAAAAAAAAAACGTTGTGACACTCTTTCAAAGCTATTTTAGTTCAGCCAATATAAATTCTGACTGTGAGAGAGCATTTTCAATTATAAAGAAATTCACACTGAATTCTGATCAGAACTTGACAATGATATATTGTGTGCTTTGTTATCAAGTAAATGTAACCAAACTGGCATTTGTTTTGAATTTGTTCTTAGTGGTGTTGCTTTAAAAGCAGCAAAACAGACCACTGTTGAATACAATAAAAGTTTATAGTGGAATATTGTTTTTTATATTAACAAATTTGTATAATGTGAAATTATGAACATTGTTCATATCAAAAAGTCCGCATCTACGTCGCGTGTTTTCACACGCTTTTTGACATGTCATGTCATGTCATGACATGATTTCTCATTGTCAGAGGTTGGCAAGTATGATCATAAAGAAATGCATTCCCAAAAATCTAACATCCTAGGTTTGATTTAAATTTTCTTAGAAAAATGTCCAGACTTACTAACAAAATATATACATATCATGATTTTAAGATTACAGGTCAGTATTAATTTGTGAGACTGTAAAAAAAAAGCAAATTCCAATATCTTGTTGTTTAACTGACCCAAAACTTGACTGCCATCTAGCACGATTGTCGCCTGAAGGATGAAATTGCATGAATTTGAGGTCGACACCTTTTATAAACCAATGGAAGTAACTTGGTTTTATTAGACATGTATACATAATTGCAGGATTATATTTGTTCTTATTGTACACCTTTTTTCACATGTTCAAATCATATCGTCATATAAATATAATTAACTGACTCCATGGAAAGTTTCATTAAAAAAACGCCGTACTGCCGCATTCTGTCTACTTAAAACATAAAGGATATACAAGATGACTGGTAAAACCTTTTATTGTCGTGATTCCGAATTACCAGACTGACTGTTTTAGTAAACATCAAACAAATCATAAGACATTGTTATGATTTTAAACGTTTGCAAAACACTAATTAAAGATGGTTTGTAATTTTGTACGCCAGACGCGCGTTTCATCTACAAAATACTCATCAGTGACGATCGAATAAAATTTGAAATGATAAAACAAAATCAAATATTTTTGACTGCTTATTTTTCATGGGAATTCATATTATAAAACAATTTCATAGTTCACGGTCAGTGTATAAAAGTTTAATACAAAATTCGATCAACAATTCCGCCCTCTCAATATTGCAAATAAGTCCATGAAGATTTCTGCCAAGACGAAGATCTTTTAATCATGACTTTGAAGTTATTTCATAATCATAATTCAAAGCATTACCCATGAACTAGAATGAAAAGCTTTTATTGATTAGGTTGCGCGAAAAGCTCTTAGCTCCATTTTGTAAATACATAGATAAATAATTGTTTTAATAAAATACGTAATAAGCTAACCCTACAACCTTTTGAACATGATATAAAACATAAAGTTGTGTTTTATACATGACTGGTCTTCAATCTTGATTTGGCCTCATATTAACGCTATGATGATACTCTTTTGTGCACTATTCATTAACTTAACTGAGGATTTTAATTTTGATGCATTTAAAGATAAATAAAAGATTCTTGTTTGAAATCAATTGTCTTTTGTGTATAATTTAAACTACGTCCGCGTTGAGATTTAAATCCGATTTTTCATATTATAGTTATTTTGAGATTTCCACCCTTTTTTTCTGATAAATTAAGCGGGAAGCAGACACAATCATCGATTTAGATTCTTTTAAAAGCATTTGAAATTGCAGTTTGTACATGCAGTTGTGTTGTTTTAAAGAAATGATATTTAAGTTCTAAAGCTTAAGATAATCAGACTGTGATATATAAACGCTGCCAAATGTTCACCGTGTGTCATACATTGGAGATGTCCATGTTATAAATTTATCGGAATAAATATTTGAAGTCTTCTCGGAGACATGATGGACCATCTAATATGGTCCTTCATATCAATATGGACCACGGTGTCCATGGCTAAAGTTAATAATGGGAATTTCTTGAACTTTAAGCTTGGATACAAGTATGATTATAACTTTGAATCTACGACAACAATTCCAGAGATAGGAACGTTTGATATCAAATCAAAGGTATGTATTTCTAATATGGACTTAATATATAAATGTTTGTTTATATTGCATTCGAATATTTGTCCTTTCAATAATCTATATTGATTTTTGGGCGTTCGTCGGAAAAGAAAAAGTCAATCTAATTAAAAAATAGACCTCTGTTTTCGTTATCTCCATAACCTTATATGTACGAGCGCGCGAGTTAATATAAGTCTGGAGTCTGTTTCACGAAAATACTTACGACTAAGATTGATCGTAAGTATACTGAATTGTTCATGACTTACGATCAATCTTAGTCGTAAGTTTTTTTGTGAAAACGACTCCTGAATTTTAACTATATTGAGAAAAAGAGGAAAGAGGAAAAATCGTAGGTTTCAAGCGAAAAGTTGAAAAATGTTCCAATCAAATTTCATAGAACAAAAAATCCACCACCTCACTGACAATTTTCTTTTTTTAGCAATGGCGTTGTCAGTTTATTTTCGACTTATGAGTTTGAATGTTCCTTTGACATCCTTCGCCTCTCTCTCTGAAAAAAATACCCTATCAAAATATGTGTTTTAACTGTAAAACTCCCCTACCCGACGTTAAAAATAGTGACGTGTGTGATAAATAATGTGTGGTGGGCGGTTTGCTGGAAACTTGCATACATCTGGTCCAACCAGAATCTATTATAAAAACATACTATTGGTATTGAAGAACACATTTCGGCGACTCATTTTAAAACAATTTCACACAGACCTCTATCACTGAGGACTACTATAAAAGAGAGGCGAATGATAATGAATATGACAAGGCCATGGCTAAAAAGAAAAAGACAAATAAACAACAGTGCACAAAACACAACATAGAAAACTAAAGACTGAGCAACAAGAACCCCACCAAAACTGGGGGTAATCTCAGGTGCTTCGGAAAGGTAAGCAGATCCTGCTCCACATGTTGCACCCGTCGTGTTGCTCATTTTAGTACAACCCGTTGATAAGTCTAATTCGGTAGGTCACATTCTGGGGAAAGGGGACGGGATTATAGTTACGACAATTGGATCATCTGTGAAACGAATATTCCATAATACAAGTCCTGGAATATCGTATCAAATTGGATATATAAACTCCGTATGCAGGTGCTACTTGAATGTTGCTACATAGAAATGGAAAGTTCACAATTGGGAAGCTGAAATCATTTCTTTTGTCGTAAAGTTTTGTGTTCAACCGACCCTCATTGTGAATTTCTAGATGTAAGTGAAGATATGAGGCTGACTTAACTTGGTCTGTTTTATCCTTTATCTCAGATTCGATGGGATAGATGCGTTCAACATAGTCACCAAATTTTGAATTATTTAGTGAGAGAACACCATCTATATAGCGAAAAGAAGGGATTAAGGATATGCCTAACTTCTTTTTGTTCTTCCTAAGAAGTTCCTGTATGAAGTCAGCCTCATATGAATAAAGGAACAAGTCGGCATGAAGAGGAGCACAGTTGGTTTTAATGGGAATGCTGATTGTTTTTTTAAAAACACGCCCCCCCCCCCCCCCCCCAAATGTTAGAAATATGTTATCATTCAAGAAATCAAGCATCTTGATAATATCAGTTTTGAGAGAATTTTTTGTTTGAATCAGAGTGATTTTTTTACAAAGTACGAATTATCCCTCCTTAGGACAAGAAACTTGTATCTACGTTGGCCATTCTTATTAATGAAACAAAGCAGGACCAACTCATTCAATTTGTCTTTTAGTTTGAAATGGGGAATACTTGTGTAAAGTGTAGAAGTGTCAAATGTTTTAAAACTATTCCAAGAGGAAAGAGTCTTAGATTGGATGTACACTAAAAGATCTTTGGAATTTTTTAGTATCGTAGAGCACTTGGAAAACCCAGCAATATAACGGTGTTTGTAAGGCCACTTATGTAGTTAAGGTATCCAATACAGTGAAAGAAGATCCAGTTCTTCATCTTTGGTTGAAAATCCATAAAACATAAAACAGACTCATGATTATCCAGGATTTCCTCCTTGGTAAGTGTCATGGGGGTATATGTTGGGTTTCCAAGTGAATTTTCAATATACCTAATTCATGTATCAAGCAGTTTATGTAATGTGATTTACACACGAAAAGGATATTGTTTGGACTTTATCTTTCGGGAAACAACATATTTGTCATTGAGGTAGAACAGGTGTTTTGCAACATTTGGGTCTTTTAAAGATTGATGTAGCATAGGTATTCATAGACCCATTCAGTTTTTAAATTCTTATTTGTATTAATGACCCCACAGCCTTAATCTATTCGGAAAGAGTATCTATGTCTTCTTTCTCGTGTTCAACCTATTGCCTGGCATTATCCTCGACAGTCCAGATAAACAATTATTCAGTGGCGTAGCACCAGTATAGCATGCATGTGCTTGCAAATTATTTTGTAAACTGGTTTTTTTCAATGAAAATTTTACTATTATTGTTCAGCTTCTGGAACAACCCTGCTTGCAATTTACTTTCCAGTGGATACGCCACTGTAATTGTTGTATATAAAAATTAGAAAGAAGTGTGGGTATACGTTTTATAGACACCAACACAAAATGCATTTAGATGTCATCATACGGTCCTCGACAATATACAGCAGCTATATATTTTTATAGCCAAGAATCTAGAAAGGTAGTTAATAAATCTAACACAAACTATAAATGAACTGATATTATAAAACAAAATACCATAAAATAAAAAAAAAAAAAACACATTAAGATGGGACAAAAGACCGTCACTATCGAGGTACCTAATTTGGGGCACCCGCATGATTATAAGGCGGGGATACATTAGCTTTAAATCTCAACCCTCCCCTGTTTAGTCTCTATTGGCCGACTACCAAATGTTTACAAAAGGACGTGCAACTTAACCAGTGCAGTAAAAGCACAAATTAAAACAATTACGAATAAAAAAACTATCGATGAACGCTCACAGGAAGTGATGGCAAGTTCAAAGTACGTAACCTGTTGATAATAAATCATGCCATCGTTCTCTCTACCATTTGTGGCTGAACTTCATAGCTAATTTTATACAGCAAGGTCTTTAAAAGTACAGGGAGAATGATCATATTATCATAGACCATACGGTGCACAATTTTAGTGCCAAAATGAAAGAGACTTGATTATAATCATGAATTAGCGAATCGATGTTAATCCCCAAAAATACCAGTCGCAATGATGATACAACAACAGTATGAGTATAATCTTTATCAATATGGCTATTGATCCGGAAAGAAAGATTTGAAGGACAATTCTCAAACTTGTTCGATTTCACCTGAGACATACTACTTGTTCTGATTTAAGATAAGTTATCACCAGTCGATTGTCGCTGTAAAATCAAAACTGATTATGGATAAAAAAAAGAAAAACTGTTCATTCTATAAACATGCTTGGTATGACACATGCTTGTCAGCTCCGCCTATCCCAAAATCTTATATCGCGCAGATTTTCAACTGAATTCAAAATATGAAATCTCAAACTTTGAAAGATGAACCTTACATATTACATAATAATTATTTCTATAGATTTTTAAGATGCCGAGAACTTCAGAATACATATCGTGAGCACAGGATTTGTGTATGATATGGTTAATTTGTATGCACGTCAATATAACAGCCGATAAGCCACAGTCAAATTGCACAGACATAGAAAGAAGGTGCGCATTACAAAAGAAGTTACATTATATGTAAAGACCAAAGAATGAAGACAATAAATAGAAAGAAAATGCAACATGAAAAGCAAAGAAAAGGAAGAAAAAGTGAAGCAGACATTTTTACATAAAATAATGTAAAATGATATTGTTTATTTTCAGATTAGCTTAATAAACATAAAAGAAGCCGACGGATTCCAAGAACTGCTTCTTAAAATTGACAATTTTCATTTCGAAGAAGCATCGCACCCAGGTAAGTAGCTTGACGTAAAGGTTATATTGAAAAAAGGATAACAGTTCACAGTTTTTAATATCTATATTATTTTTTTTCAATAAGAATTATGCGAAAATCACAAAGTGCGACATTTACTGCCGACTTCACGCCCAAAAAATACAAATACTCTCAAATTTGATTTATGACATACTATAAACCGTATAGTAGATTTACAAAGTTTGTAGATGGAACAATGAACAAGTAATGGGGGTCGTTATAAAGTATAAAGCATAATTGAATTTACTACCAAGTCATTGACTCATCCTGCAAGCTCGTATCAACAACTATTTTTAGTAATTCCCACAGTAAAACATTTAAAAACCAAATAAAAATCTGTCAAATAATCCTACCGACCTTGCGAGACCTTCATGGGTAGCCAAGGTTGTTATAAAAACCCTAGTAGTAGATAACCCTCTGTCTGACCAAGTTTATCAACAGCATCTACAAAAAAAAAAAAAAAATCCACACAGAGCCCTCAAATTTTCGACCCGTCAGTGCGATGTTGTACTCTTGTCCATACCTGTCTTTTTAAACTTGTTTTGTTCATCTAAACCCTTTTCTTTAAACGAGAATTCGAAGTATAAATCTGAAATTTTTATTTAGATCTGTTGTCGAAAGGCCTGATGAAATTTTATTTATTAGAATTACCTTTTTACATGTATTAGTCGTAGAAATTATATTGCTTAATTGTATATAAGACATATAAGCATCAATGCTTATATATTTATTTAAAGCTTATCTTTGTTATCTTTTGCAGATGTTCGAGGACATGATATGGATTTGGCAAAGTGGTAAGTACCTCTTTTTAGGGTTATTGTTGCCGGGTTGCTGTCTACCCAAGGATTTGTATACTTGTTTTTTTTTCCATTGACAGTAGTCTCATTGGCAATCTACTTCAGAAAATTGATGTAAAAATCCAAAAATTTCGACCCCATTTATATCTATAAGTTGCACCAGGCAGCGACATGTTATTTTATTACATATTTGAATTGACTAGGACGATGATAGCTTGTATATGCAAAATTTCGTCCATGGGATAAAAACTGAACCGAATGCCAATAAGAGCTTATGTTTGTATGTTAAAATGTACCGACTCTTAAGTAAAGCATTATTGGATTAAACAATGCTGTTTTTACTGATTTAAGGTTTTCCGGATAGAATCTCCGTATCCGATTTTGGCCCAGTTATTAAATTGCCGCGAAATTATTTCCTCTGAAAGTGAGAGGCTAAAACTTAAGTACCACTTCATATTTGACTGTTTGATACCTATTGTAAAAGTAAATGCGTTACCAAGATCATACGAAAAGTCTTACTTGAGAAACTTAATATTTCGACGGAATCGGCATAGACATCCATAGGGGCTTGAGGAAGGAATTTTTGCCTTTCGCACAAACCATTTTTTGGGACCGGATTATCATAAAGAACTAACAAATTAATCTCGCCTTTTGGGAGTACAAACAAATAAGCATTGAACATAAAGTTAAAAAAAATGTCCCAACACATATAATTATTTGGACTTCCACATTGCATGAAGAAAAAAAGGGGGATGCCATTGCCAAGTTACAAAAAAAAAATATGAACTGAAACTGATGTTAATACTTATAACTAATTCAACTAAAGTGACAAATTCAAACTTTAGAAAATTATTTTATCAACCAATTAGAATGGATGGAAAACAGATGTCATATTCCTGACTTGCATTGTACAGGTATTTTCCAAAGAAATAGGTGGGATACAGCCGGTTTTATAGCTAGCTTAGACTACCACTTGTATGTCAGTTGTTTATAGTTCCTTCTATTGACAAATTGGATGAGCAACCCACACAGGCATAAAAGGTTAACATGACAATCTGATTTGATTCTAACATTTTTAAAGCTCACAGGTCCTTTTTTAAAAATGAGACATCAGTTCTTCAATCTTTGTCGTGATGACAGGGTAATCTCTCTTGTAAATTATCCTCTCTTGTAAAATTATAATCACTTATGTAGTTTCTCCTTTGTACTTAGATATTTTAGGTGGCGCTTTTTTAAAAAATATTAAAGAAAAAATGTACTAAAAAAAAAAAAAAAAAAAAAAAAAAAAAATAAAAAAAAAAATTGGTTAAGCAGATAATTGAAATGACATGAAAAATTCAAAAAAATTGTATTAAATTATCCACTAAAACGGTTTGTTTCCTCTATGTACTCTGCTAATAGTTGAGTGATATTTTCTGCATTTGGCAAATTGATCAGTTCTCAAGGTAGCATACCAAACCCCCAAAAGTCACAGGTCAGATAAGACTATGTTGGAGCCACATTATTTAACAGTTGCCTTTTTTTCTATTGTGTTTTGACATGAATAAGTCCAATCTACATTTAATTTAGAAATTTTTGCATACATTTATTATTGAGAATTTTGAAGAACAGAATAAAATGTGAGATCAATTATTGTGATTTCAGTAAATTATACATTAAAAAAATGCTATCAAAATTTGAAATACAAGTTTTTTTTTGCAACACCTTTTCTCTTGCTGTGATTAAAACCTGATTTAAATTTCAGAATTTACAGTAATTTATACAAATACCTTCTTGCGGTTGCTTATTATACTAGAATCTAATATTTTGTACAATTGATTATTTTCAGGTTTTCCTTTGAGATAACAAGTTATGGGAAAATTCTCAAGGTTTATTATCCATCTGATGAAGATGACCATGTCTTAGCCACAAAGAAAGGTCTTGCTTCTCTCTTATCAGCAAAACTAGATATCATAGAAAAGGTAAGTTGGTTTTCCTGTTCGAATGGTTTTACACTAGTCATTTTTGGGGCCCTTTATAGCTTGCTGTTAGGTGTGAGCCTAGGCTCCGTGTTGAAGGCTGTACTTTGACCTATGATGTTTTACTTTTACTAATTGTGACTTGGATGGAGAGTTGTCTCATTGGCACTCAAACCACATCTTCTTGTATTTAAATAGAATTTTTTAGGGCATTTGCCATCCATTTTGTATTTTTATGCTTCTATGAAAATAGAAGGGCAATATGTTTTCTGTCTTTAACACATGAAAAAGCACTTAAACCCATTTTTTGGATTTTCTAATTGATTGTGTGCTTCAAGTATGTTATATCAGCCTTCATTTTGGTGCCTTACTAAAAGGCCTATAAGTAACACTATGAAAAACTACTTGTTAAAGATATCTCTTTCTGTTTTAAATTTGCATTATTTTTTGACTTGATATATACAGGCATTTTCTAAAGAAAATGGTGGGTTAAACCTGGTTTTATAGCTCTAGGTAAACCTCCCACTTGTATGACAGTTGTTTATAGTTCCATTTAAATTTAATATTAATAGTATGAAAAATGATAAAGGAAAAACATTTTATTTCTAGGTATCTGATGTCACAGAGAAGGAGAAGATTTATTATGCTAAAGAAACAGGACATGAAGGTAAACAAACTTTGTTACATGATATGACAAAGGAGTGGGGTATGGACAGGAACAGTGTTGCACATAGTTGTCTGACATGTTAACATTATAAAATGTTGAACTCTTCATTAGTTGTCCCTTCCATTTTATTTTCACACACTAGCTGTAAAAGGGATCAGCTTGTATCGATTCGCAAAGTCCACTCAAAATTTTTTTCGGGGCCGGAGAAAATTTCAGTGAAGGAAGTAGACTAAGATTGATATGATAACTAGCTTATCTCTTACAAAAAGTCATTATTAAAATAAGAAGATGTGGTATGATTGCCAATGAGACAACTCCTTCATCAAAGATCAAATGACATAGAAGTTAGCAACTAGAGGTCACTACATTCTTAAACAGTGAGCAAAACACATACCTCATAGCAAGCTGTAACAGGCCCTGAAATGACAATGTAAAACAATTCAAAAGAGAAAACTAATCACCTGGTTTCTGAAAAAAACAATAAACGAAAAACAAATATGATATACAGCAACAAATGACAACCACTGAATTTATGAATTAGAATAAAAAATTGAAATTCAGATATAAGGTATGAATCTATTAAGATTTATGGCAAAAATTAACCAGACTTTACCACCTGAGTGCTTACCTCCAATTGGATTCATCAGGCCAAAAAAAAATATATGTCTGTTAACGGTTACCCGACCTACCCTACCTTTGAGCGCCGACCCTAAGTCATTTTATTTCCGTCGTAAAGTAAAAAATAAACTCAACTCATGTCAAAAGTGAAGTAAGTGTTGCCAATAATAATATAAATCAATTGCCTGATACATCCCGATGTTCACATGACAGCTTTTTAAGGAAATTCGCGACTCGTGTGATGAAATAAACACTTTGCCGCCATTTTTTTCCAACCAATAATCAAGGAAAATAATCCAATCATTGAAATAATGGGTAAAATTGGCCCATGATCAACTCTGACCACGACAAGATGAAACCACATGACTCAAAATCATGTCACAAAAAACAAAATGAAAAAAATAAATAAAATGGAAATGCCGACCTACCTACCCTATTTTTTTAAAGTATGTAACCTTAAACAGATATATATGTTTTTTTGGCCTCAGATACTGTTGTATGATCCCATATTAAACGGATGTTTACATTTAACTTAGGTCTACATAACTCAACATACACTGTCATAAAGACAAAAGATGGATTGGAATTTACTAAAATCAGGGATGGACATCCAGTTGGAAATGCTGGTGGGAAATGTCAGAAGGTATTTCTAAAATATATTATCTACTTTGCAAAATGTATATTTCGTATTTAGATAAGACAATTTAGGAGGGTAAATAGCAAAGTTTTTAAACAATGTCTTGTTGGATGATTGAAGTATTTGTAAAACTATTTATTATGTTAATAATTTCTTTCAAAGGAATACAAGTGGTTGTTTTTGTCACTTTTTAAATTTTTTTTGTCATGGTGAATCTGGTGTTTAGATCATTTTTTACTTTTTAAGACTGACCGATTTAGATAAGTGGTATAGACTTGTAAAAAATCCTCCATAAGTTGATAAGTAAGGATGAATATGGATTCTACCACTGCATCGAGTGTGATAGGATATTTTTCCACTTAAGACAGTTCAATTTTCAAATTTAAAACGCAAGGCTCACTAAGCATTTTAGATCTTTAAAATTTAACTGTCGAGAGTGGAGAAATATCATATCTCATGAGATTTGGTTGTAGAATTAGTTTATTTTATGATTTTTAGACGATATGCAGACAAATTTAATTCTTCTTTTCCAATGATCTGCAAAATTATTTGTTCTTTCAATTTATCGTCATCAGGCATGGTCACCTTTTTTCGTGACGTCACAATAGGAAATTCATGGGAAAGCAATTATTGAATAATAAAAATTTAGACAAATGAAAAACTGACATCAAATGAAAAATAATCAATGGGTCAGGAAAAGGATATATCAGCTAAGAATTAGAGAATTGTCTTTATCTGACCTTGTATTTCAGATCCTTCAGTATCATGAAGCCCTCAGAATTATACAGAGTGTGGAAGTGGATGAAGAATTCATATCTCCAAAGGCTCCATCTGGGTGAGTAATATATAGACCAATGAAAAACTTGTGGATTTCATATTTTAAAGAGGTCAAAACATACCATAATCTTATCTTATCTTATCTTATCTTACAATAAGAAATCAACTTATTTAAGCACACAATAGACAATTTTGCATATTACCGACTTTGACTCCAGAGTATATAAGTTTTCAACAGGTTACCTTCTCTGTGGTAGGACATTCTGGTAGTCGGTCAAAAAGGAGCAACTAAAAGAAGTAAAGTCAAGCTATCAGTGCAAATTTTGGGAAAAATTAACTGGTTGATGTTTTTTAATACACAACAAAATCATCAGAAAACAGTTTATCATTTCCCCAAATTGAACCAATTGTAAGTTAGATTTTGAGTGTACAATATTGTAAGCCTGGTATGTATGATGAGTTTATTCTCTTCTTTTCTCAAGCCTGGTATAAGTTTATTCACTTCTTTTTGTTGCTCTTACTTAACCGATTACTAAAATGTCCTACCACAGAATAGGCAACCAGTCAAAAAATTACATACTCCGGTCTCAATTTGAAAGTTAACATGTTTGTTTTTGTGCAGTTGCTTTATAGATGACATACATCCATTTTAACCGGTCAATACAACCAAAAATGACCAATAATTAATGGTTAGTAAATACTGTAAATTCAGAAATTATTGCGATGTTTTAATTATTGCGAAAAATGCGACAGGATTATAATTGCAATAATTTAAACTCGCATTTTGAAATTTTTTATATGAATTAAACAGGATTTTTCTCAATATCGCAAAAATTAAAATCGCATTTTAGTCTAAAATGACAAAATCGCAATAATAAATGCACGCATTAATTTCTGAATTTACAGTAGTAAATACTGTGATACCAATTTAGGTGCATAGTTCTTTCTGGAAGTTCATCAAAACAGAAAATAGTCTTAAGATAAGCTTTGCTTGAGAGAGTTGCGACAGTTTCAGTACAAATAAATAATTTATAAAATCAGTTTTTAAGGTGGTTGTTTTATTCTAAATAGTTTCAGTACAGCTGGTATCTTTGTCAAATGTTTAACTTATATTGCCTGTCATAAATACTTTTAATGGGTGAGGTGAACCAACACCCAGATGTAAGGGTGGATACCTAGTGGTATTCAATAGTTGAATATTACCAGTACAATTAAGATATCAATACACAAGTGATAAAACATAACAAAAATATATAAGCAATTTTTGGCAAAAGTCTGCCTATTGAATTTTAAATTTTAACAAGCGAAAACAATTTAGAAAGAGGTGGGAGGTTGGGAATTTCAACTCAATATCAAATCAAAAGTTTACAAAACTTTGTATTAGTATATATAAGAATTTTACAACAAGGGAAATTTACATACCCAATAAAAAGAGTGAAAACAATAAGAGAGTAGATTTCAATTCAAGAGTATACTAATAAAATTCTAGTCCAAACCAGTGTGATCACTGAAGTGTAAAAAATATATGTTTGCTTCACTGATCTTCTAATTCAATATTTTACAGCCTTAAATTAAACCTACAAAAATGTTTTAAGAAAAATTATGATGTTCAAACAATTTCAGAGATCTAGTGGGAGCTTGAGAAATCAACAATTGTTTATGAATTGTGTTTTATTTGTATATTTTAGCTTTGATCCAGAAAAAGGGATGAGAAAAGTTAAAGGAACAGTAATTAAAAACATAGGTAATTTGTGAACTGTAGACATTGTCTAATAGCTGTTAATTTGTGAACTGTAGGCATTGCCTTATAGCTCTTAATTTGTGAACTACTGTGAAAGTACTATTATTCGTGGGTATCAATTTTCGTGGTTTGAGCAAAAGTTCTATGTTCGTGGGTACTTAAATTTGTGGCCATAAACATGTCACTCTAAGAAATCAGTTACATTAAATTGCTACAAATGTACTTTGAATTGTAGAATTATTTCTAATGAAATAAAAAGGCAAGCCCAATATGATTTCTTTTGTATGAGAATTATAAGGAGATAAAATGAACACTTCATCATCGCATACAAGTATCATCACCAGAACTCTGACTTTCCTCGATCAAAATTAATTTTTTATAAAAATTAAAAAGTTAGAAGTCACACAGTATAGATTTTTTAAAGATTTTAAAAATTGGTAAAATTCTGTCTGTACAAAATGCCTTTGGTGATATTCGATGTATTCTCTAGATTATATGCCAGTATCCATGTAGTCAAACCTACATGGGAATCCTTTTCTGTCTTGATTTAGACAACATTTTTTATAATTCATTTGACTCTTAAATTCGAGGATTAAGCCATGCATGAAAACCATGAAAATTGGTACCCCATGAATAAAAGTACTTTCACAGTATAGGCATTGCCCAGTAGCTATTAATTTGTGAACTGAAGGCATTACCTGATAGCTGTTAATTTGTGAACTGTAGGCATTACCTAATAGATGTTAATTTGTGAACTGTATAGGCATTGCCTATATAGCTAATAGCTGGAGAGTTGTGCTCCTCTCCACAGATAATTTGTGAACTGTAGGCCTTGCCTTAAAGCTGGATAGTTGTGGCCATCTCCAAAGCAAATTTAGCTGTTGAGATGTAAGGACCCGAGATTGAATTTTGGATAGTAAAGAAGTCAAATTTTAAAAAGGAGGGTGACCATTTTATTGTCAATAGACATTTAAGTCTCATGATCTTTAATTTCATCTTGTTACAGTGTTTCCGGAAATGACAGCCAGAAGTCATGGGAGACTACAATATCTATCTAACCAGTATGACAGTGTACACACTAAGTCAGAGGTTGGTCTACACACTGGCAGTATTTCAGTAGACAAGGTTTGTATTTTACAACAAATAGAAAAGTGCAAAAAGGTGAGGGAGGATATCTGGGGGGCTTTCAAAAATTATAAGTCAAATAAAAACTGGCAATACCATGAAATGGAATTATTCTTGAAATTGTTTGAATATTTGTTTTCTATAGTCCAGATTCACAATTATGTGTTTTATCATACAATAGTAATGTGCAAGAAACTCTTTATGTGTCTTAAACACAAGGATAGGCTGGTCAATTGATTTTTGTATGCTAATATCTAGTGGGAAATATTTCAAGCAGGAATGGAAATGATCATGAATGAAATTGTAAATAAATGTACTCATAGTTACATGGGCAATGAATTTATTGTTTATATAGTTTACACAAATGAAGTCCTTACGGTAAACTTTAGTTGTAAACTTCTTTGCCATTTGGTCTGTTGTGAAGAATTGTCTCGTTGGCAATCATACCACATCTTCTTATTTTTATATCTAATGTGTTTTTGTTACAAATGTTTTCCTTTTTAAAAGCACCTAGATGAGTCCTAGACTCATTAATTTTTTACCTATTGTGGATGTTTTTTAATTTCAAATATTTATTTCATATATGTTATGATTAAGATCTCTCTTATAAAAGAGGGGCGAAAGATACCAGAGGGACATTCAAACTCATATGTCGAAAATAAACAGACAAGACCATGGCTAAAAAAGGAAAAGACCAATAGACAAACAATAGTACACAAAACACAGCATAGAAAACTAAAGACTGAGCAACACAAACCCCACAAAAAACTAGGGGTGATCTCAGGTGCTGTGGAAGGGTAAGCAGATCCTGCTCCACATGTGACGCCTGTCATGTTGCTCATAATATTATAAAACATTGTGTTCGAAAAAGGACTTTCAATTTTGTTGTTTTACATATAAGACTTAGTTCTGAAGCCATCCTCAATGATAGTTATTCCCTTTTGTGACCCTACTTCTGCAACTTTGCATAGATAAATGTAGGTCAGGTTTATTTTCTTTGAATGGTCATATATTCCAAAATCAGCAATTGAAAAATGAAGAAGAAACACATTTGTACCCTACATAAACATTATAATACAAACCAGGGCCTTGATTGCCGAGTGGTTTAAGTAGTTGAACTACTGTATCACTAGCCTGTCAACACTGAGGTTGTGAGTTCTAATCCTGCATGGGGCAGGTGCGCTTGACTCCAATCTTAATTGATTACATTTCAAATGTTTAGGTATGAGTGATCCTAATGAAGATAAATCCAGGGAAGCACTTTGTAAATTTATGAATAGTTATTTTAATTTTAGGTTAGAAGGAGTTTACCACAGATGAGTGTGAAAGAGGCTTGGCAGTATGTGAAAGGAAATGTTACCTGTGTCAAACTGAAGGAAAGAACAGGTAGTAGGACCAATAAAGATAGAGAAGAAAATATAACAGGACTCACAGAGAGAAGCCACAAAGAGGCTCCATTAGGGACCTTCCTTTGGTCACAAGGTCACTTTGAAAAATTGCCTCAGATTGCCACGTCACTTTTAAGCAAATTTAAGAAAGAAGATTTTGAACATTTTTAAAGGTCACAAGTCTCAGGTCCTTTTTAATGAGAGGTCAGGCTACCCGCCAACACTTTATTTCGCATTTAGCCCTTCATAGCCAACTTCACGGCGATTTATTTTCGCGATTTTCTGAATTTCTTGACCTACTTATATAAGAAAAGACAAAAGTTTAACAAATTTGCGACAATTTATCTTCGTGTTATTTTTAAACTCACGAAAGTCACGAAAATAAATCACCCCTGAAAATAAATCGCTCGCGAAAATAAGTTGGTTTACAGTATTAGTTTTTCTTCATACATTTATTGTAAAATGTCACATACAGGTCACAATATGACCATTTTTTTTAAGAGTCTCAAAATATTGTTATTGTGTGGAGTGGTTATTATATACAATAAACAATGTTTATTAAATTAAAACCTATTAAAATGTTTTTTTGAATTGATTTTGAGTGTTTTTCTTGTCCAAAACATCAAAGATCCATTTTTAGAAACGAAAGATAATACATCAGAGAGATTGATACAATAAGTATAAACTTAAACATTACACTGAATCTATCTCTGTTCCATCAGCTCGGAGTCAGAATAATGTGTCAGGGTAAGGTGACATGTCTTCCTGTGGACTGTTACCTTGTGAGCTAGCACGTTAAAAATCTGGCTCAACGTGTCCGTCTAGTACAAAGCAGAGTAAATCTTCATATTACATTAACATGTTCTCATCCTTAATATGCATATTAATTTGCCACTGGACATTAGGCAGCCATCCATCATCATCATCATCTCTGTTCCAGGTTAAATTTTCAGTAGCAGCATATGCTTTTGTTTATTTTAAAAAAATGCATAAATTGCAATTTTAATAATTGATACCAAAAAAAAGACAATACATTTTTATAAAAATTTATTTCTTTTTTCTATTGAGTGAAAAAAATTATTTATATTTCCTATAATATGAAAAGTACTGATTAAGTTTCTGCAGATAGTACTATGAAATTATCGTTTTTTTGTGTTTTTTTTTATCCAGATGAGAAGATTAAAGCCAGTTACTGTTTCCAGAAGATAGTACAGATACTCAGATATTTGAAGACAGAAGATTTGAACAAGATTGCTGACTTTGTTTTTGTTAATTCAAAACTAAGGTACAATGTAACTTTTTTTGTACGCCTGTCTCTGGAAATTAGACCATGAAAATATACTGAGGATAGAACTTTGCATGTTTGTTGGAATATTTTTGATTGATTGATTGATTGATTGTTGGTGTTAAAAGCCACTTTCAGCACTATTGTTTATATCTTGCTGGCCAGCTTTAATTGGTTGAGGAAGCCACTGCCCAGAGAAAAACAACAACCTTTGGCAGGAAAGAAATATTTTTGAAAGCAGATTAGTTTCTTTATTATTAAATATTATGAATTATAACTAGCTGTAAATCAGTTTTAAAAATTAAGGTAGTCCCAGTCGGTTGTCTTTATTTAGTGTAATTACTTTTCAACAGTATCTGTGATGTGGCCCAAGTTAGTCAATATTGGAAATAGCTTGACAACCAGTACCAGGCTGGTAAAATTTTGTAATTAGACCTGTCTATTTGGCTGTAGAGTCATAATTATTTAAATAATTAATATGAACAATATGAAGATGTGGTATGATTGCCTATGAGACAACTCTCCACCAGAGACTAAATTACATAGAAGTAAGCAACTATAGCTAAGTGTATGTTCTTCAACAATGAGCTGCCTTTATATTGACCACACAATTTAAAATACTTAAGAAATCAATAAGAAGGAATGTTTTGTGAAAATACATACTGTCATTAAGAATATTAACAGAAACAGAAGTTTGGTAGAGAAAAGAAATAGTTTGCTATTGGATATCTGCCAATCCATACTGTATTTAGATCCTTAGCTTACAAATTTTAGTTTTGTTCACCATTTTGACAATTTCAGAAATGTTTTTGTCATAATTACAGACACATGACAGCTGTTGATCCTGCCATTGTACTGGATGCCTTTGGTGTTCTTGACACAAACACAACACAGGACATCTTAGCAGACAAAGTCATACTGGTTCCCAGACCTGATCCAAGCCTTATCAGTAGGCTCTTAACACATTTAGTAGGAAGCTCAAAACCACCTAGTCAGGTAAAGATTTTTAAATTTTGCAGACAATAATCTGACAGAATTAGACTATACTCAGATTTAGGAAATGGGTATAGAATAAAAAGGGGGAGTAAGAAAATACTGAGAGGAAATTAAAAGAAAAACATCAAGTAAAGGATAACAAAACACAATGAACAAAAGAAAAACATCAACAAGAAAAAATCTTAGCCTCTATTCACTACACAGAAAACATGAAGCAACATGAAAGCCACCAAAAATATAAGCGTAACCGGATAGCATGATTCTTGCCTCGAACTGGGGTCCTCTAACCGACTGTACTTCCATAGCTCAACCACTTATGGCTGGCTAAATATCTACCACTCAGGGGAAGTAACTTGTCACACAAGATTGAACTTGGGTTATCTTGAAGGGTAGGCAGTTCCTGTCCACTTCATTATGAACATTTTGGACAAAATCTAAAAGCAATTTATAAGCTGATACTTTTTAATCTTTTTTTTCAGAAAATTGTTAAAGCTTTGGAAGAGATAGTTTACACAAAAGATGTCTTCCCAAAGGAATTGTATAAGGACGATCTGTATAACAGGATCATGCTGGCTTTAGGTTCTATTGCTAACAAGTTCTCCCAGTCAGGACAGTATGAGAGAAGTTTACATATGGTGTCCAGAGTACATAATTTACTGGGGATACATGGTAGGCTGTTTGTTTTTTGTACAATGTATTTGTATCAGTTTTTATAGAAGCAAGACATAGATTATAATGTTGCATTTGCTGTAATCAACATTTAGGTTCAGTTAGGGGTTAAAATGTTTTTTAGACATCAATAATTTTGTCAAACCTTCTATGACATTTTATGAAACTTGGACATAACGTTTTTCATGATCAATAAATAGTATCCACAGAAAAATGTTGAAAATATTTTTTTTTCATATTTCCTTATTAACTGAAAATTGGGCTTCCATTTTTTGCAGTTAACACTTAGATACAGTCTAAGGTTAAAGTTTTTTAGACATCAATAACTTTGCCAAACCTTCATAGAAATATATGAAAATTGGACAAATACTTGTCATGATCAAAAGACAATATCCAGAGCGAAATTGCAGAAAAATATTTTTCATTTTTTTTATTTAACTGGACTAAATTTTTGGCAGTCGACATTAGACCATTACACTGACAGCCGCCATGGCAGGCAAGACACAGATTTCCGTGGAACACTTGCAAGTTTTTATAATCAGTAGAGGAAACTTGGTGCCTGGTATAAATCTCCAACCTTTAATGAGTATTTGACACTTCACGACCTCTAGATGTCTTCTGTGTTGTTAGGTTACTGTCTCATTTATGTATTACCCTTATCTCCATTTATTCACATCAATTCCAAACGAGAATTTGATTCCCTGTGATTTTGTTATCCTATGTAATTGTTCTGATTAACAAATGATAAAACTTGTAGAAAATCTTTTCTAGTTTTATGCAATTTTTATTGATTTATGAACCATATTTTTCTTCAAAGACACATTTAGTGGTCTATTATAGTCCTCTGAACTTTTTCTATGTCTTCTTTAGGAATTCACCAATAACTTTATTTAAAAATGTATATTTTAATGTTTTGAAGACTAAAACAGTATATTTAGACAAAAAATGGATATAAAATATAGTTTAAGTAGGCACAACTATTTACTTGAAAATGTACTTTTTCATCCTATATTTCACAGATCCTTGGACATACAGACAGAAAAGATCCCTCCAAACAGAATCAGAACAGACTCAAGCCGACCAATGGAAAGTTGTTTTACTGGAGGTGTTAGGCAATGCAAGGATAGATGTGTCGTATGATTATATTGTTTCTCATATCAACTGTACAAACTCACCTTGGATTAAAAGAGCTGGTCTGCATGCCCTGCGAAAATACCATGATGAAAAGGTACAAAAATATTGATCAAACCAATAGTTTCTTTATTTTAAGCCATTTTTTGCTTGAACCTCACCATTAATGCTTAGAACCAAATGTTTGAAAGGATTTGGAGTTGTATCACCCCCTAAAAAGACCTGACCAGATATATAAAATGCACTTCATTTCAGATATTCTGGTTTAGTGAAGGATGTAGGCTTTTAAATGGATGTATTGCCATGAGTGTTGATTCTGGTTAAAGACAGGGTTAAATAAAATTCTATGGAGACCTCATAAAGTTAAAAAAGTTTGATAAAATTAAGCTCTGTTCAAACATAACCTCGGACCCAAATGCATCTGGTTTTTTTAAAGATAAAATTATGTTATTTTAGGTTGCTGGAGTGATGTTGAATTCAGCACTTTACGATGAAGATGAAAGTGTCAGATATGAGGCTTTACTTCAATACCAATCCCATCCAAAGGCAGAACTTATATTTCCAGCAAAAAGGTGAATGATTCATTTACTTTTAATGATGGAAAAAAGATGTTATTTTTTGCACTTAATACAAATAAAGAATTTAATTTACCATTGTTAACAGTTACATTCAGTGATGATTTTACTACTATGTTGAAGGCTGTCAGAAGGCACAATTCCTCATTGATAAGATTTAGTTTTCCTTATTAAATTTCAGACCCATCAGACATACATAAACTGCATTCATAATTGGGGCAGGATTTGAAAGTTTTTGGTTCAGATTTTTTTCTAGTAATTGAGAGATTATCAAATTTGAACCATTTTCCATAGCCTGTTATAAATGTAGTATGCATCCAATGCTTACTTACTTACTTTTGGTATAAATTAACTACATGTATTTGTCACTACTCCAGACGTTTCTATTAAGACTGAGTTTATCACTGGAACGAAGTAAACAGCAAGAAATGTGTGCATAGGACTCAATTAAGCCATTAATGCACAAGTATGTTGGAATCAAAGAACACCCTACATATATATGGTTTTGTTGAGTTTCACAGGACATATTTACATTGAATCCCCATCATGTAAAAAAATGATTAAGCCTTTTATAGTAAATTTATTATAAAGACAATACACAGGTCAACTGATAAGGCTATTTGTTTGATGAGCTTATTATTTGATAGAAATTGAGTTAAAGAAGAGGTGGAAGAAACCAAAGAGACATTTAAAACACATGTTGACACGAAATAGAAAACACAACCCCTCCAAAAACCAAAGGTGACGGCAGGTGCTCTGGGCGGATTAGTAGATCCTGTTCCATATGTGGCACCCATCATGTTGATCATGGTAATAAGTCTAATTCAATGACTTAACAGTTACTTTTTCACCCTTACATTTGTTTAGTTACTCTGTCATCAATATGAGTGTTGTACATATGGAGAAGTATTATACCACAATTTTACGAACAAGATTGACAATATGTCACATGCATATCTCACCAATTAAAGCATTTGCAAAATTGACTTCGTATTTAACCTTGGTCGACCTACTAGAACTTGGATAGTTGATATTTAACTTATTAAGCTTATGATTTGACTGTACTTTTTAAATTTATGTTTTGTAATAGTGATAGCAGTAATGGAAATCCAAACTCCTTGAATCCTGAACATCTGGGAATAGAGGACATCACAGTACATCGCCGTTCACGTAGATCATTTTCCTCTGACACAATGGAATATAGGCTGAAATCTCCTACTGTAGAATGGAGGAAAATGGTAGGATCCACTTCTATTGGAGCATCATTTGGAGTGACAATGGCCAATCTGATGGATCTTATAGAAGGTTATGTACTATATCAAGGATTATTAAATTCTTTTTTTTTGCTTTGTAAAATAGAGCAGAAAATAATGAACAATAATTAATGTTTTAACATATATATCATATAAAATCCAATTACAACTTTGAGGAACATGCAGCCATTGACTCATAGTAAGCAAGGCAAACCCCATCAAAATTTAGAATGAAACCTTTCAGTTATTTATGATAGTTGTTCTAATATTAAAGTAAGGTTTAATTATACTAATACATATAGAATGTAAATTTTAAAGATCCAAGTTTGAGGAAACAGAAAGGTATTTGTATTTGTCCTTTTGTCTGTCTGTTTTTCTAACAAATATTTTATTCTCACTTTTCTTTTCTTTGAAACTTCTAAACAGAATGACTGCCTATGTGGTCAGCAGCTCAACAGTGATGAGTCATAATATACATAATATAACTTTTCCCATACAACGCTTCGAATTACAGTTTGGTTAAGCTTAGCACAACAACACTTGCTTTCTTGTCAAGATTCTCAAATCAGTGGACACTCATTCATGAAGTTCAGCTGACCAAAAGAGTAGCCTATTCCATTAAATACAATTTTCAGTTACTGTAAACCAACTTATTTTCGCGGTACTTTATTTCACGTTTAGCCCTTTCTATCCCTATTCGTGGTGATATAATTTCGCCTTTTTCAAATTTACTTGATGTAGTTAGACAAGAAAAGATCCAAATTTAAAATTTTTGAGACGATATATATTCGCGTTATTTTTTCTTCTCGCGAAAAATAAACAGGTCGCATAAATTAGTTGGTTTGCAGTAATACAAAAATTGCTTGCTTTCCTCCATTAAACTAACCTACACTTTATCTTTAACAACAAATTATACAAAAAACATGTATCATAAGAATGTATATGATAACTATACTTATAACCCCACTTAAATATCAGGGTTTGGGTTATACAATAATAAGTATGAATTTTTTCTTTGATAGCTCCCTTGTGTGACAATATCACCATAGACATGCAACAGGAAGTCTATACACGCTTACATTTGGGTGTGGTCAATGAAAATGTTGATTTCTTATCTGGAAGGATTTGTTTCAAGGGACATTCACAGTACAATATTAACTTATTCCAAGAATTTGAAATGAAAAATGTGGCAGACATGGCAGAAGAATTTGATAAGAACATTCAGGGAATTGTCAGTGATCTTGTGGCTGGCATAGATATGTTCAGTGTAATAATAGCGGGTCCTCCTACAGTGAGACAACTTGCAGCAGAAATGTCAGAAGCTCTTGAAGACTTTCCAAGTAAAGTGAGTATTCTGTTAAAAAATTAATATATTTATACCCCTACATACAAAGGGAAGAAAATCAAATGACGATGAGGGTGGTTTTTAACGACCTTGACTACCCATGAGGGTCTTGCACGGTCGGGAAAAAAAAATCAAATGACTTGTTTCAAAATACCACTATTACTGTTTGGGAGGGGTTGGTATTTTTTGTGAGTTCACTCAAAGTTATATTTAATGGGAAATAGATAGATACAATGTAAAAAGTTGATGAACAATATATTCATGTACAAATCTCTCTTGCTTGCCATGTACCGGTATGTACATGGTTGTTAAGAGGATTGTTATGTTATAAAGAGTCAAATTGACAGCAAACCTTGACCTTTGATTCCAGGATAGCTCAGGGTCAGAGGAATTTTATTTATAATCTTGTTAAACGTATACAAAGGAGATGAAGTCATTTTTGTTTATCATATAAAACTTGAAACAAGGTATTCAATTAAGATTCTCAATATTGAAAATAGGTTTTCATCTTTTATCATGTTTATTAAACAGAATTGATAAAACACTTTGTGCATTTTGCTTTTTGTTTAATATTTAGCCTCGTATGTATCTATTACATGTATGAAATGTTTAACCCCGCCATATTTTTGCGCCTGTCCTCAGGCATGAATCTCTGGCCTTTGTTAGTCTTGTACATATATGTTTTTTTAATTTTAGTTCATTTATATGTGTTTGAGTTTAGTGTGACGTCCATTTTCTCTAAACCAGTATACATTTTTGTTTAGGGGCCAGCTAAAGCCCGACTTTGACCCATTGGTGTCCTTGAGCTGTTTTCTGCTCTTTGGTCGAGTTGTTTTCTCTTTGACACATTCCCCGTTTCCATTCTCCATTTTATGAAATGTTCTGTATCTATTACATGAATGAAATGATCTTTTCTAGGTATGGGAGTTACGATACCAGGCCAGTAACACACTTACTATTCTGGGACAGATTGATGAAGCAGAATTTACTCCTGTCTTCCATCCCTTGCAGAATTTGATTAAGAAAATAACTTCTTTGTTGAATGATGTAAAAACAGATGTCACCAACTTTTACAACGTAAGTTTATGGAAGAATTTTAGTTGCAATCAAAAGCTATGTTGAAAAAGGACAAAACGTTACCATGGTAAAAACAGTCTCCAAAATACTGTTTATAAAAGGATAATCAATTCCTGCGTCACTAGGCCACCTGTCAAATTGCTTATGGCAAGTAAAATTCTAAGGCTACATTGTCTGTGAAAGAAAATCACTTTCTTTAATCACAATGAAAAACATAAATATGGGAAAAAGATAGAGACTATATGTAATTGATTACGTTTTAAGAAACTTCCAATTGAAAGACCTCATGAGGAAAAAGTGAATACTGAAGTTTTAACAAAAGGATTAGATCCTGAAACTGTTTATTAAGCTTTCATTGGAGAAAAAAAACTAATTGTGTAATCAATTAATACCATCCATCTTTTGACTTACATCTTCAAAAGACAAAACTAATGAAAAGATCAATAATGAAACAAAAACAAAAAAGTAAAACAATAAGCAAGTAGAATTGATTGATTGTTGATGTTTAACACCACTTTCAGCACTATTGGCTATATCTTGACAGCCAGGTTTTACAGGTGTAGTAAGCCAGGGTTCCCTTAGAGAGCAACTAACCTTCTGCAGAAAAAAAACTAAGTATCCTAGTCAATTAAGATTGGAGATCAATGTACCGTCCAAGTGCCGGGTTCGAACTCACAACCACAGTCAGGGGTTAAAAAATCCAATAGCCCGACCCCCGGGGCTACAACATTTACGCTTCGGCCAATCAAAACTTGTAACCCAATATGCCCGACGGACTAGTAACAAAAAATTCTTGGCGTTTCCAAAATAGAAAGTGGAAAATCCCCTCATCACTATTCTATCTTAGCCAATCAGATTCAATTACGTCATCCAGGATTCCAAGAATTTGAACTGATTTTGTACATGTTTTAAAATAGAACAAATAACTCTGGTGGACCGGTATCATGAATACGCAATTCCTGTACTTTCAATATCGATTTCTCAGTACAGGGGGTATTGTACATTGCTTATGCCGAGATTTACAATTACCGGTAACGGTACTGGGCCAGTGGGGATATGATGCATTGATCGATATTGACCTGTCATGTCGGACAGCTGTTGAGCACTGAACTATGCAACAAAATATTTGAAATATTTTAGTACGGACACCCCAGGAACTTTGTCAGTTTCAAAACAAAAAAACGGTAGATGAAGGGGGTAATGAGGCTGAAAATTCATCCCAAAAAAATGCCAAATACAACCGGGAAAAGCGGAAAAGAACATTTATAGTGTCATGGACAAAAAGATTCCCAGGGCAAGGTCGGCTGTTGCTGATGATAAACCAGAGACAATGTTTTGTGAATATTGCTGTTATTTTCCCGATCACGCTAATAAAAAGTCTGCTTTATATGTGGGAACAACTATATGATTTGAACCACTGGTTTCACATGACAAGACCAATGTTTTCTGTAGTGATCTGTAGTTTATCATGGTGATCAGAGATATTCATGGGTAAACACTCGTGCAAAAAGAATGTCATAAATCAATACAGTGGTCAGTGACTGGAAATTTAATTACACGTGTATTATCTGATTAAATCTTCAATCCATTTAAATCCCCGAGATCCTGTAAAATATTTAACAACCCATAGTACAACGGATAGAAATGAACAAGTTTAAAGAACTCGTTGTATTATGCAGCAAACTCTGAATTTGTAAGACATACTCGGGCTAGCAGGTCAGTTTTGATGGGTTAGCAGTTCTTCCAACAGGGCTTGTAAAACCCTGCTACCAATAAATCCTGGGCTAGTGAGCTGTAACAAAATTTGTTAACCCCTGACAGTGTTGATAGGCTAGTGATACAGTAGATGAACCACTTGGCCACCATGGCCCTTAAGCAAGGAGAACACTAAACAAGAAACACGATAAAGAAAAAAAGGTATAAGACTGGTTTTACTGTTATTTTTTCAATATTGTATTACAGAGGCTGTTGGAGCCAGTTACTGTGGTAATCCCATACAATACCAGAATGATCTACCAAGGTGTTTCTGAAGTTATTGATGGCATCAAGTTCTTTGTTACAGATCCCAAATCATCCATGGCTAAAATTAACAAAGGTGTTATGGAGTAAGTTATTATTACTATCATAATTATACCCCACGCAACGAGTTGCGGAGGGTATAATGTTTTAAACCCGTCCGTCTGTCCGTCAGTCCGTCAGTCCTATTTCTTGTCATCGCAACTCCTCTCAAACCACACAACAGAATTTCACGAAACCTTTTTAGATAATAAGGACATACTATGTAGTTGTGCATATCGACAGGAAATTACGATTCAATTTTTTTTCTAGGAGTTACGCCCCTTTGAACTTATTTACTTTAATGTACTACTGCAACAGTTTGTCAGCGCAACTCCTCTCAAACCACACTACAGAATTTCATGAAACCTTTTCAGATAATAAGGACATACTACGTAGATGTGTATATCGACAGGAAATAACAATTCAATTTTTTTTCCAGGAGTTACGCCCCTTTGAACTTATTTGCCCAATATACTACTGAAACCTTTTGTCATCCCAACTCCTCTCAAACCACACAACAGAATTTCATGAAACCTTTTCAGATAATAAGGACATACTACGTAGATGTGCATATCGACAGGAAATTACGATTCAATTTTTTTCCCAGGAGTTACGCCCCTTTGAACTTATTTGCCCAATATACTACTGCAACCTTTTGTCATCGCAACTCCTCTCAAACCACACAACAGAATTTCATGAAACCTTTTCAGATAATAAGGACATACTACGTAGATGTGCATATCGACTGGAAATTACGATTCAATTTTTTTTCCAGGAGTTACGCCCCTTTGAACTTATTTGCCCAATATACTACTGCAACTTTTTGTCATCGCAACTCCTCTCAAACCACACAACAGAATTTCATGAAACCTTTTCAGATAATAAGGACATACTATGTAGATGTGCATATTGACAGGAAATTATGATTCAATTTTTTTTCTGATACAATTTTTTATTCTTACACTTATTTTATTTCTCCAATGACAATGTGGGGACGTGGGGTATGTGAGCGCGCTCACTAAGGTTCTTTAATTGTTAATTGTAAATGCCCCCTGTGGGACCATGATTGGAATAATAAATATTTGATTTGATTTGATTTGATTTGATTTGATTTATAACTGAATATCCTGCAAAATATCATATTAAAAAATGTTTAAAGGTAGAATTTTATGGAAGCTAATTATTGCAGAAGAGAATTAAATGCTATTGATATTTCAAACACTTTAAAATACTTAATCAGTGTGGATCAACTTTTTTTTACGTGAATTATGTCCCTTTGAAAAGTAATTTATATTGAGCATTGCTTTGTAAGCTTGATTTAAGGTCAACTGTTATTTTTTTGTTATCTTTTCTTTAGGATATCATTTGCAGTAAAAGCTCTTACAGACACAAGAACCAAAATACAAGAAGCAAGCTTTAATCTGAAAGGTATTGACCTCATTTCTCTAGATCTTGAAAACCAAAGAATTTTTGGGGTTCTGAATCTTTAAATTTTGTGAATCACTCCTACTTTCATACATAAGAAACTTTCAGAACTCTTGAAATAGAAAGATGTCTCCTGTGGAATGAAGAAATTTTATTTTCATCAAGTTACATTTTTGGGCTTGCTTGCAGATGATGAAACAATGTATGTAATTAAAATGATTTTCTAATGGCATAAATGACCATAACTTTAATAAAATAGAGGAATTACAGTACAATGTGACTGTTTAACAATAATTTGTTGAGAAATATCAATATGTGTCCTTGTAAGTGTCTTCATCTTGATTATTTAAGATATATTGTTGGATGAAAACTAGAGTTTTGGTCTATGGATAATATTTTCTTAATGTTTCAGAATATTTCGCCCCCCCCCTTTAAAATGGCAATTGACTTTGAGGAACACAATAATTACATTTCTCAATGATCCAAACAGTGTTGAACTCCACAGGCATATAGACAATAAATAAGATGTTTTGCTGTATTTGCAAGAAATGATAAACCTGCAATTGTATGAATTAATAATGCTTGGTTATTAAAGTACTCACTAGCCTTAGTTTATTGCATTTAAAAATCAAATATTTTTGTTGGATTGCAATGAAATTAAAAAATATAGTTTTAAAGTGGAATGTTACTAAATATTTAGATAGTAAACCTTACTGGTGGGATATTGACACAGATTATGAGATATATGAAGCCTTTGCAGCCAACATAACAGCAGCCATTACAGAAAATGGTCAGACTTGGGTTGAACCAGTGTACTTAGAGAATGAAGATCCAGTGGCTTTGTTTACCCAGGGTGCAACAACAGAGGTACATAGGAAAACTCTTTCAAGGAAGATAAAAGTGAAAAAAAAATCATTAAAAATACCAGGCTTTCAATATTTGTACTACAGGCATGCATTTAGTCAACTTAAGACTCACTAGTGGCGCTTGAATCAAAAAAGTTAAAATATAAAAAGAAGATGTGATATGATTGCCAATGAGACAACTTTCCACAATAGACCAAAGGACACAGAAAATAACTATAGATCACCGTACGGCCTTCAACAATGAGCAAAGAAAAGACCATATCAATATCTCAATCTTTTTAATAAGGTCTGATACATTATTTTAAAAATAAACACATCATTGGTAAAACACTTAAAGCATTGCTAACACTGTTGTATCTGTTTCTTATGATTATACAGACCAATTGAATTATTTCGGATGTGGTTCCTTCTTAAAACTCAACTATATTTGGGTTCACTTTGGTTTTTTACACTGTCAATCCTGATTATAAAAAAAATTAGCTTTTAGAATGTGATATAATGATTCAATTATTTACCAAAAAGACTGAAACAGAATTATACTTAAAATAAAAAGATAAGAACAGTAATAATGTTAAATTTTCTATTTTGTTTACAGAGAGAGTTGAAACAAGAAATTTTGGATAATTTGACATCAATTGACATTTCTGGAATGTTGGAACCTCTAATCAACATGGCCGATACGTTCATCAACAAATCTTATAATATGTTTGTGTGGATAAAAAAAGTCAAAGAAGCTGAAGCTGTATTGAAAGAAAGGTAAGCGTTTGTTATAGGTGTGGATTAGGGATTGGAATCAATTCTAGATAAAATTGGGTTCTTTTTCATGTGTTATTCTTACAAAATATGTAAGTACATAAAAAAGTATCTTGAAAACAAGCTCGCTGACCTATTTTATAGTTTTTATTTATTAATCACTTGATATTAACGTGATCATGCACAGTGAGAAAAAATTAATATTTTTGTGTTTTTACTCCCATACTACCTTGAATAGGATTCGGGGTAATGTAGGGTTCGTTGAACACAATTTTCCTTGTAATTTTTTTGTTCTAATAATTTTTTCCTTACTGTCTTATAATTAAGGTATGAATCTGGTCAATCAGTGATTGATACAATATTTGGAGCCAAAGTGCTTACAGATTTTTCCAGACGTTTTTGCTTAGCAGACGACACTTGTAATTCGTTTGTTCTATTTTTTTTTTAACTTTTTTATAATTAAGGTATGAATCTGGCCAATCTGTGATTGATACAATATTTGGAGCCAAAGTTCATGCAGATTTTCCCAGACGTTATCGCTTAGCAGACAACACTTGTAAAGGATCAGGATTTTATCCTTCACAACTGGCAGCAGATGGCGGCACAGAGTACTGGTCTTCTGGTGTAGATTTAGTTTCTCTGCCTGACAGTGTTGTAAGTTGATGTTATATTTTTTTCCTGCAAACATACTTATCTACATTGACTTGCTTTATTGAATAAATAAATATGAAAACAACGTATATAATTCTCAGAGAAAATTTCTTAAATGGTATGATTGATAATAAACAAACATATCATGATGGAAGAAAAAGCTATTCAAGTCTTGTAAACATTTGCATTTTTTAAAGAATAATTTAGTTTTCTTGTCTCTGACAGGTTGTAGCTCCATTTGCTGGTTTAGTGATGTTAGGGAACAGTAGCAATGAGATTGTGATTCAGACTGATGAAGGTTCCCTTAGAGATACCACCATCATAATAACTAATGTAAAACCTAATGGTACCATTCTGCATCCCTCGGACAGCCTCTACATAGAAAAGAGGGTAAGTTATAAATAGAGGTTCCATTAGGGATACCACCATCATTATAACTAATATTAAACCTAGTGATACTGATATGCATCCCTTTAATTACATCCAATATAAAGTGAATTGGACTCTTCTGTATCCCTATTTAGGGTATGTTATAGAATTGCAGACGTCAATTATGGAGGTTCCATAAGTAGAAATAAGATGTGGTATGAGTGCCAATGAGACAACTCTCATTCCAAGTCACAATGTGTATAAAGTAAACAAATATAGGTCAAAGTACGGCCTTCAACACAGAGCCTTGGCTCACACCAAACAGCAAGCTATAAAGGGCCCCAAAAATGACAAGTGTAAAACCATTCACACAAGAAAACCAACGATCTAATCTATATAAAAAAAAGAGAAACGAGAAACACTTATGAACCACATCAACAAACGACAACCACTGAACAAAAGGTTCCTAAGACCTATTAGTACCATTTCTTAATCCACAGAAGACTACTACATACAAAAAGACTTGTTTTTATAAACAGTAACTTTTAGGGATGTTATAAGCAAAATAAACATTCAACATTTTGATATTATTTGGTACTAAAATTTCTCTTAATGAAAGGAGTGTTGTCAAAATGTTTTTTATTATTTGTCTTATAATCAGTACTTTTTATACCGGTACCCCTGTTTCAAAATTCTGGATGATATAACCAATTATAAAAAACTTTATAGTTCTTTGTCAGCCCTCCTACCTCCCTAATCATAGGCAATGCTGAAAACTACTGTATGTACCAGATTCTTTGAGGAATCTTTTTGTCAGAATGTCTATTCTAACAATACACAGGAGCAAAACTTATACTTGGCCTTGCTTTTATGCCTCTCTTACAATAATATGGGGACTTTTTGTCAATCTCTTCTCAGGTCTAAGGTAGTTCACCATGAAGTTATGATCACATGAACTTGAAACTTAGTAAATATATATTCATTATTCCATAAAAGTTTTACAATATGTCAAATAAGGGTTTACACTCAGGTTTTAAAGTTCATTACATTTTACATGGAAATTTGATAATTTGAGGATTCATGGTTTCCTTATGACAAATATTCTTATTTGGGATATTTTCTAAAATTAGATAACAAAAAACCTTATTTAATGAATATCATATGACTGCTAATGATATTGTCTATACAAAAATTTGATTGATCAATACAGGTAGCAGCAGGAGTTCCTATTGGATTAACTGTAGCCTCACCATGTAATTCCTCCAATCATATTCATTTTGCCATGAAGAGGGAAGGAGGTTTTATAGATCCAACAAGGTTTCTGAAGACCAGAATGTTTGAGATGCCACAGTGGGTTCAGATCTGTGATGACTTCAAACTGGAATATAAGGTATTTAAATTAGGAGATAACTATCTGAATATAAGGTACTAATGATTCCTTTTTGTAGATTTTTACAGTTAAACATTGAAATGCACTGTTCAAGTCCGATAATTATTTCTGATCATCATAAAATCAGTGAAAATTGTCAAAACGATGATATCAAGTATCAGGAAGATAGATTTTTTCCTCTATTCAAGGAAATTGTTACCCACGAAAATGAACATATTCAAAGTATGTATCCTGAAACTGCTTTAACATTTTTAAAGGCCAATGCCAGCCTCATGTAGAATGATAGTTTTTGTCACTATTAGTTTCCATTGCTTAGTGTTTCTCCCTGTAACAACTTTTAAAATCCCAGGGAGTCGTTACTTACTTTAAATAAAAATAAAATCCTATCCTTTGGCGTACAAATGTATTAGCATAATGTTTATTGGATCACCATTCTCCTGTTATCTTCTCTAGGGAGAAACCATTGCTGCTGGTACCATTGTGGGTGTAGCAGGACAGAAACAGTTGGATACCAGTCCTACACTGACCAATAGCGTCATCAGTCAACCAGACGACCTTGACATGGCAGATGACCCAATGCTTGATATCCAGGAATACAAGAGTAAGTTAAATAGAGAGGAGTTTTAGAAATTGTATCAATAAATAAATTATACACTTTAATATGCTTATAATAATTGGCCAATCAACTGAAAATGCTTGATCTAAATATTCCTCCAAACTTTCTGTCGATCTGCTATCCATTGATGTGGATGTTACAACTAATATTGTTACACTACTGTGGAATCATTATTATTTGTTGGTATTTTTATAGATCTCGTGGGTAAATGTTAATCACGAATTCGAATGATAAAGAATTACAAATTAACTATACACCAATCTCGAGTTGTTTTTCATGAATGAGATACACTGGTTGACCTGGGTTTAATTGTCGAAAACGATGCCATCAAACAATGGGTTCTTACTGTGACTTGATAACATAAGTATTGTGACATGTGGAAAGTAAGGGAAAGTGCATGAATCGAAAGTTTGTAGATTTGTTTACAGATTTTGCCAAAATCACAAAATCAAATATCCACAAAGTTGAATGAATTCAGAGCAACATTAATTTTTACCCTGCAGATTAAATTATTGGTGTATTTATTTTTTAAGTGATGAATATATAAATAAAAACAACAAATATGACATATGAAAATAAGTCTGTGTGATTGATTACCAATGAGACAATTATCCACTGAAAATTACCAAATGAAAACAACTCCCATTTTTTGATAAAAGTACTTTTCCCTTACTTAAGTGTGTGTTGTGTTTAGTGACAGGAATTTGTACACCATATCCCCAATTTTCCCTTCTGTAAGTATTTAAGATTTAATTTTATTTTATAGACAACCAATCTGGACTATATTATAAGACACAGAGTACAGATATTGAAAGTTTAAATGAGACTGGTGAGTACGTTGTACCATACCTGCCAACCTCTGAAACCTTCAAAGAGGGAGATCTCCCTCTCAGCTATGACAGCTGAGGGGGAGATTTTGCGCGAACGACATTTTCAAGTGAAATATATGTTTATTTATTCATCTACGAAACACATATAAGAGTTAATAGATATATTGTTTCTTTAAATATGGTAATATCCTACAGAAGGTGTGTTGTTTGTTTCTTTCCTATTTCATCATCTTTCTCATTTGAATGCAATCAGGTCAACTTTTCACCCCTTCACACCTCTGTATGATACAGAGTGCAATCATGTTGTCTCATTTGGTGCAATATGTGTGTGTACTTTTATATTTCATAAATTTTGGTTCAATACAGGTCTTATAAATTTCAATATAAACATTGAATAGAAGTATAGATCTTTTAAGATATTTCTAAAATATAATTATTTTTTTTGTCTTAAGGCATACAAAATCTTTTAATTGCAATCTTTTTATGATTCTTTTTTTAATTTGTATTTAGTTTATATTGTTTTATCAATTCACATTATTTTAAGAAGGGTAACTTAAAACAGGAATAAACAGGGGAAGTAACCCAAAATTTCTTTGAAGTATAACACAAAGCTTGAAGCAAAAGTCGTTAATGATTGTTAATTAGTACTATGTTTGACACCCAAGCTGTCAAGTGAAGCCATTTAATTTCACATGGTCTGTGATTTACAGGTAAAAACAACCCTCATCAGTGACACAAAAACGTGATTATTGTTGACTTGTCATTCAAGGTTGAAATATCCAAAAGCGGGAGATTCTATACTCCCGCGCAGGAGGGTACCGGCAAGCAGGAGATTTCCCGAATTTCGCCATTTGAGCGGGAGTCTCCCGCTCAAAACGGGAGGGTTGGCAGGTATGGTTGTACCAACTAAAGTCATAATTTGATTGATTCCTATATTTTCCAACAAAATCTAGCCAACAGGACAAAAAATGACAGGAGGGTGTAATTATATATATATATAAAAAAAACCACTATATCTAGCTACTGTGGCTAGTACTGCTTGATTTTAACTATCTCCTTTCATTGATCCTAATTGGTGTCATTGTCTTCAACTTTCTTATCCAAAGTCTTTCTTGAGTGATTCCCTACACTCAGTTGTTTAATCAACATTGTTTTATAACCTTTTCCACAAGAACACCATTTTACATAATTCATGCATATATTTATTTCTTCTTGAATTGAGTCCTCATTTAAATAAATAATTTTTTGACATGCAAAACATATTTTATTGGAGAATGAAGTTTTAAATCAAATTTTCATCAGAAAACATAATTCACCCATATGTGCATGTCTTTCTATGTTTTAAGAAATTGAAATAAGACTTTAAAATGTTGATGCTTCAAAGATTTTTTCTCAATTTACTTTAGTTTATAACTCCAGTAAAAGATGTTAGTTTTATAGATAAGGCCTTGCGGTCATAAAAATTTTGAGCATGATCATCATACTCAGACTCGGGAATCAGCCAATCAAAATACTTCATTTGGTGTTTAGAGCACATTTTTTGCACTCTGAGTACTGAGTAAAGTTTTATGATCGAGACCAGATATCCTTTACAGCTTTGCATCAAAGGGAAATAAACTATATTAAAAACCAATTGTTCAGAGAACAATTGAAGGTCTTTCCACATCAATTTTCTAAATAAGTGATAAGAAGCTACTTCCGGTTTACATAAAGTTGCTTTTGGCGTTCAATCATAGGTTTCTTCATACTGATTCAATAAATATATGAATTCTTCATACTTTTGCCTGAAATAAGGGAGATAATTGCCAACTTCCGGTTCAGAAAATGTCACTTCCGGTCTCATATGATAGCTGTATTTACACTGATTCTAAAAATATATGGTTTATATATACTTTTGCCTGTAAAAAGGAGATAATTGGCTACTTCCGGTTTAGAAAATGTCACTTCCGGTCTCATATGATAGCTTTATTCACACTGATTCCAAAAATATATGGTTTATATACTTTTACCTGTAAAACGGGAGATAATTTGCTACTTCCGGTTGATAGAATGTCACTTCTGGTCTCAATTGATAGGTTTGTGTATGCCCATTCAAAAAATATATGGGTTCTAGGTACTTTTCCATGAAATAAGTGCAAAAAATATATGGGTTCTAGGTACTCCTCCATGAAATAAGTGCAAAAAATGATTACTTTCGGTTTTCACAAGGTCACTTCCGGTTGACATTTTTCAGGTGTAATACCACCAAATCATAGTACGTCACATCCGGTTGCATACGAAAATAGGTCGAAAAAAAATATTCCCTTGAATTTGACAGTTGTAGGTAATTGATCCTACATTTCATTGCAGTAAAACATTTCTGGGTCATAAACATATATCTTGGGTATTTCAAAGCACCATTATTTTTTTATTTGGGGTTTCTATAGAATATTTTGGAAACTTGAGGTTACATGGTTACTAAAGCTTGTATACAGGTTAAAAAAGGGGGAAAATTTGATTGGTTAACTTCCAGTGATGGTTATTTTCTTATATGCAATGAAATGTTATGTGAAATTTTTTCTATAGTACTGGACAGGATCAAACTTTACTCATGCCAAGTATTTCTTTATTTGAAACAAAGATAAATTCTGCACAATTTTTTGAAAAGTGCAAATTTAACAAAGACTAATAGGGGAAAATCAATGGTGGTATTACACCTAATATAGGAAGCTGTACATGCACCTTTGACCTTGTGAGTACTCTCATGTGTTAAAATTTCTTGCTATTTAAGTGAAATATTACTAATAATGAAATATTCTGAGTGGATTGAGTCTCCAAAACACATTTTATGAGAAAATTTCCTTGAAATAGGACTTTACCATGAATATTAGTTGACAGAATAAGCCATACTTAGAGTTTTGGGGAGCTTTTTCTCCTTTTTTCTTATATTCTGCTATACTAGAAAATTTTTCCTAAGAAATACTTTAATAAATATATAGTTTTAAGTAAATGAAATTATTATTAAAGCAGTAACAACAAATTATTCACCAAAAGAGAAGCTTTTTATGTCCCTCTCTGGAACGCGGCGTAAATTTAAGTTTTACGTAAGGACTTATTGAAACCTCCTTGGAGACAGTAAACTTTTTTACGGATAGTTCATTCAGCTTGAATACTTCAATTAATCATTTATTATAACATTTCTATCATAAATGAGTGAAAGTTACCCCAAAATTTTTATTTATTGGCCTATAAAGTAGAAATTTTGAGGAAATGAGAGGTATAAATGGACCAAAAGAGACCTTATAAGGAAGACAAAGAGGTCCATTGGTAGTATTTATCATCCTAAAGTCATCTTTTGTATCATATTCAACTGTTTGTAGGCAGATGAGATAAATATTTGATCATTTATTGGTCCACACTATATTCTATCATGATGCGGCTTGGTTTGGATTTTTCGAAGAAATTTTGCTCGAATCGCTGCAGATGTCGTCTTACATTATACTAGATTTTTCTCAAACTATTGAACTGATTATGACAAAACTTGACAGGAATGCTTGAAATAACCAGTATAACAAAGGAAAAAAGTCACATTCAGTTTATTTAACAAAAAAGTCTTCTTTAGGTGTAATACCACCAAATCATAGTACGTCACATCCGGTTGCATACGAAAATAGGTCGAAAAAAAATATTCCCTTGAATTTGACAGTTGTAGGTAATTGATCCTACATTTCATTGCAGTAAAACATTTCTGGGTCATAAACATATATCTTGGGTATTTCAAAGCACCATTATTTTTTTATTTGGGGTTTCTATAGAATATTTTGGAAACTTGAGGTTACATGGTTACTAAAGCTTGTATACAGGTTAAAAAAGGGGGAAAATTTGATTGGTTAACTTCCAGTGATGGTTATTTTCTTATATGCAATGAAATGTTATGTGAAATTTTTTCTATAGTACTGGACAGGATCAAACTTTACTCATGCCAAGTATTTCTTTATTTGAAACAAAGATAAATTCTGCACAATTTTTTGAAAAGTGCAAATTTAACAAAGACTAATAGGGGAAAATCAATGGTGGTATTACACCTTCAAGGTTATATGTCACCCAACATTTTGCAAAAGACCTTATGGCTTTATCATGTATCAATCTGAAGTAATAATCAATTTACCTTAAAATAAAACATTTTAGGGGCAATAACTCCTATAAGATGTCATTGGATTGTTTCAGACCAAATGTATCATATCTTCATCACAATAAAGCAAACATTTTGCACTAGTTCTTTTATATATAACTTTAAAAATGTCAGAAAATGCAAAAACAAGCAAAAGTCAAAATTGAGAAAATGACCTTGACCTCATTTTCTAAGTTGGGACCCAAGGACCTCAAATTAAAAGACTCAAGGTTTATACGGCTTACGGTTTATGAGTTACAAAAACATAACGACAAATTTATTTGGTAAAGGTAGATAACTCCTATAAAATTTCACCGGATCGCTTCGATCCAAATCAGCCAAAAATTTCTGAGGATGTAACGAGTAAATATGAAAAAGAATTTTGTCGTTATTTTTTTTGGTTACAGAGGAGATATACTCACAAGAAAAACAATGTTTGGTGAGATAACTCTTACAATGAAAAATTCTTTGGCTTAACGAGATAAGTTTTAAAAGCGCAATAACTGTTTGATATAATATCTTAATTTCCAAGCCACATCTTGCGAAACAACTTTATACCGCAAGAAAAGGGTTTGGAGGAAGAAGAAAAAAAAAATAATAATAATCAGAACAAATACAATAGGTCTTTCCACAGAAAAGTGGAAAGACCTTATTATAGAGTATTTTGATATCGTTTATTGGCAAATTCCAGATTGTCTTGTTTTATCAGCACCAGTTGGTTAATCACTTGTTTTGACTAAGGACAAAGAATTGTGCCAGGAATAATATATAAAAATGAAATGAGTAATATTTAAATCATTTGATAATGTATAAGTGTGTATCACCAAGTTATGCTTTGACATTAAAAATACTCTTTAAGTTGGCAATGATTAATTTCAGAAATTTAAAAAAAATCTCCTCTTCTGTACATACATGGTAACTTGCTTAAACATAATTTTAATTGTCGAGAAAAATGTTGAAAAATCATGGACATTTTTTTATTTTGTCTCCATTCATTCCCATGTGACAGCTTTTTTTCATTATTTTTTCTATGAAATCAATGCTTATCATATGAAATGGTTATTGAAAGTTGCCTTTCTTTCACCTCAAATTGTATCATTTCAGCATGTTTAGTACCCAAAATTCCATAAGAAAACTGTTGAGATTTCACCCTTTTAAGACAGTTCAAGTTGTGATCCAAATTATTTGTATGCTAAGTTTTCATTAGATAACTGTTAACAAATAAATCAAATCCACATAAGGGACATGTAAAACTGTTTATCCCATTACCTTGACTGAAATATAAATAAAATAAGAATACTGTAAATTCAGAAATTATTGTGAGGTTTTTACTAATGTGAATAATGCCACTGGGTGAGTATCGCAATAATAAGAATCTGCATTCTAAATGAAGATTTCCCTGAAATCACAATAATTTATCATCGCATTTTCGTCCATTCTTTAAATCACAATAATAAATGTACACAATGATTTCTGAATTTTCAGTAGGTGATAATGCTAAATGAGGATTAAATATAAACAGGTTTCAGAATTAATTTTGATAAAAAGAGATGTTGGGTCAATGAGACAGCAACCCAATGACTCAAACTACCAAAGGTCATCCAGAGGGTAATGTATAGTTTATATCTTATGTTACTTCATTATATTTCAGGTTTATTAATAGCCTTGTTACAGAAGGCAGACAGTTTTGTGGAGAAGTATTCCTTACATCGTTTGAAGATGGGATCCCTGGTGGAATATCTGAACTTACTGAATATGGAGACAGAAAAACAAAACTTAGCCAAAATCTTCACAGAGATTAGGGTACTGATTAAATATATCAAATCATAATCATTATATCTGTTTGCCAGTTATATATATCTACTGCATGATACAATTTGTCAGATCTCTTTTTTCAAGTTTTCTGGTTAATAAAAACCTTTATGACCTTTTGCGCTAATTTAATCATGTGGCTTCTAGTTTATAAGGCTGAAAATGTCTACAATGATTACAAATTTACAGATTAGTACATCAACAAGATTTAACTTTTGCAGGATATAATTAGCAGCAGAACCTGTATGAACCCCTATGAGATGAGTAATGAACAGTTACGACAGGAACTATTTGAGCAAGGCCAGGGTACTTATGGTTCCAGAAGAGATATGATATCAGCACTTTACAAAGCAAACAATGGTATGTGTAGTAGCTGTGTTTCAGTTAGAATCGTTCCCTGTATAGACATTACTGTAAATTCAGAAATTATTGCGATGTTTTTATTATTGCTAAAAATGTGTCAGGGTTATAAAATCGCAATAATTTAAACTCGTATTTTGAAATTTTTTATATGAATTAAACAGGATTATTCTCAATATTGAAAAATTAAAATCGCAATTTAGTCTAAAATGACAATCGCAATAATAAATGCACACAGTAATTTCTGAATTTACAGTAATACATTCATAAAGACAGCAATTTTTTACCATCATCTTAACATCCCAATTCAAATAACTATTTTTAGTGAAATATGGCACAGTTAAAAACGAGGCAGAAGATATTAAGGGGACATTCTAAATTCATGTCAAGAAAAACTAACACCATGGCAAAAAAACAGAAAACAATAAAGAGATGAAAAAAGTTCACACTACAAAGAAAACTCATCAACACAAACCCCAGCAAAAAACCAGGGATGAACTCAGGTGCTCTGGAAGGTTAACCACATGTGGCACCCGTCATGTTGCTCTGTGTTCAGCTTCTGTAAGAGTGGGATGGCTAGATTTCATATGAGCAGGTTGCGTGCTTGATTCAAATCAAATGAGTGTATTTTGTTGGAGTTGTGATTTTTTGGCATTAATTGTGGTTCCATGATATCAGTTTCACAAAATCCCATGTTTTGTGTTGGAAGAATTAAAAAAAAAAGACAAGGTCGATAAGAATTTGATTTCACTCAGATGCATGGAAACATTGAATGTTCATAAATATTTAGATCAATACTTTGTAATTTTCTTCTTTCAGAATGTCCTTTGCTGTCTTTAGCTCTACCAGACAATGCCTATTGTACGTACTCAGAGGGTTGTTATGCTGTGGAATGCTGTATAAATGTCAAGATGTCTGTATATCTCAAGGTCTTCAAAACGTTTATAAGATATGAGCCATGCCAGGAGATGCTATATTTAGGATTTGACAGTTTTCAGGAACAGTTTAATTTAGGGGAGATATTCAATGAATCGGCATATGTAAATGGAACATTCGATGGTGAGTTACTTTGTACATGAATAATATTTTGGTACAAAAAGAAATAGGAACAAAATTTTTGTTATGTTTTTTTTTTTATTGCTGTCTCTGATTGGTGATCATTTAACTATAGAATCTTCATTCAGTAAGTTTATTTTATTTCAGGCAAGAAAAACTGGAATACTGACCGTAAAATATAAAAAATAAAAAAAATTCATGGCATAAAAAGAAACTGAGTAAATATTGTAGTGTTGGTCAATTGATAAAATTCCAAATATAATTATTAGAAATAATTGAAAATATAATTCATTTAAAAGAATTCGTTATTTATTTTTGAATACCTCTGAAAGTTATGGTTTGTTGTCGAGCCTGCGACTTTTGTCGCAGAAAGCTTGACATAGGGATAGTGATCCGGCGGCGGCGGTGTTAGCTAACTTCTTAAAAGCTTAATGTTTTAGAAGGTGGAAGACCTGGATGCTTCATACTTTGTATATAGATGCCTTATGTTACGAAGTTTCCATCTGTCACATGTCCATTGTCCTTGACCTCATTTTCATGGTTCAGTGACTACTTGAAAAAAAGTTAAAGATTTTTTGTAATGTTAATTTCTTTCTTATTATGAGTAATACGATAACTATATTTGGTATGTGCGTACCTTGCAAGGTGCTCATGCCCGTCAGACAGTTTTCACTTGACCTCGACCTCGTTTCATGGATCAGTGAACAAGGTTAAGTTTTGGTGGTCAAGTCCATATCTCAGATACTAGAAGAATAGGTCTAGCATATTCGGTGTATGGAAGGACTGTAAGGTGTACATGTCCAACTGGCAGGTGTCATCTGACCTTGACCTCATTTTCATGGTTCAGTGGTTATAGTTAAGTTTTTGTGTTTTGGTCTGTTTTTCTTATACTGTATGCAATAGGTCTACTATATTTGGTGAATGGAATGATTGTAAGGTGTACATGTCTAGCTGGCAGGTGTCTTCTGACCTTGACCTCATTTTCATGGTTCAGTGGTCAAAGTTAAGTTTTTGAGTTTTGGTCTTTTTTTCTAATACTATATGCAATAGGTCATCTATATTTGGTGTATGAAAATTTTTTATGATGTACATGTCAGTCTTGCAGGTTTTATTTGACCTTGACCTCATTTTCACGATTCATTGCTCAGTGTTAAGTATTTGTGTTTTTGTCTGTTTTTCTAATACTATAAGTAATAGGTCAACTATATTTGTTGTATGGAAGGATTGCAAGCTGTACATGTCTGCCTGGCATGGTTCATCTGACCTTGACCTCATTTTCATGGTTCATCGGTCAATGTTTAGTTTTTCTTGGTTAAGTCTGTATCTTAGAAACTATAAACAATAGGTCAACTATATTTAGTGTATTGAATGATTGTAAGGTGTACATGTATTTCTTGTTTGGTTTATATGACCTTGACCTCATTTTCTTGGATCATGTTAAGTGTATGTGATAGTTGTAGTAAAGCTTTATATTTAGGACTATCAACATAATATCAATTATTAGTAAAGAAGGCGAGACATTTCAGCGTGTGCACTCTTGTTAGACATTATATATGTATTGACTTATGTATGTCCTTTAAAGATAATAAAAACAAAAGAAATGTGACCAAAATTAAAAATATGAGTTCAAATTACTTAACTTTGACTCAGTAGATGAATGTTTTCATATCTAATTCATGCTGTGGATTCATTATTATTCAATTTTTCGTGGATTTCTTTGGTACAGGTGAACCACGAATTTAAATGTTCAATGAAGTACAAATTTGCTATTGGATTATATATAGACTTTGACAAAAACACGAAATCAAATATCCATGAAGATGCAAGATTTCCTCAATCCAAGAAAATTGGTACCCACGAAAATAAATGAATCCACAGTAATTGATTATTAGCATCCTCTCCCTTACAGAGAGACAGATTCATACCATAATTCTCGGCATGAACTATTATGTATCAATTGTTTAAGCAGCATTAGAGCTATTATAAAAGTCCATGTTGACAATTGATTTTCTTGATTTTCTTGCACACTTTATGAGGATGTTTGCTCAAGCATTTGACCACTATGGCAAGGTATTGATGAAACTTTAAACAAGGGAGAACACACACCTGAGGATGAGCGTATATAAATATAATCTTTGACTAACATGTTAAAGGAAGATAATCAAGTTTCCTGATTTCAATATTCTAATAGTATTTAGAGGCAGGGGCTGACTAAATCATGTTTAAACCTAAAAAAAATTCCTATGGACTAATCCTTGACAATTATAAATGTTAAGCAGAAATTTTATTCAAGATAAAAAAAAAATTTGAAATAATGTAATAGTTCATTCATATCATTATTAGTTTCTCATGTGTTTAAAATTAATTCTAGGATTTGAAGATACAATTAGTACAACTACTGGAATTGTTCTACCAGGATTGGGACCAGTACAGTTAGTTGTCAGGTAATTAAATTAAATTTTTATGTTTACTTTAAAATTTTATTTGAGTTTTATGAATATTGGTTTAAGACTCGCTTAATATTTTTAATGGTTTTTTAGTTTGTTGTTGAAGAGTTATGGGACTTTACTTTTAGAGAAATAGAAAATTTGTGTTAAATTTAAATTCACAGTAGACCCAATCAAGCAAGTACTTAGTATTTTATATATTATTACAATTGTATTTTGTAGCTACTTGGTGTTACGAACAGAAGATGACCTGACTGTGACCTTCACCTCCTCCTTCTGTAGAACAGATGACCCTGAGACATGTCTGAGAAGTGTTACTGTCCTTGACCATGCAGTGTTCCCAATACTAGACTGTACAGAGGAGGGATCATACACTATGTTTGAAGGTATCAAATATTGTAAACCAACTTATTTATCATGGGTACTTTATTTCGCGTTTAGTCCTTTCTTTCTTATTTCGTGGTGATTTAATTTAACAATTTTCAAATTTACTTGATGTAGTTAAATTAGGAAAGATCCAAGTTTTATATATTCGCGTTATTTTTCTACTCTCGAAATTAATCCCTCACAAAAATTAGGTTTACAGTAATTAGTTGATAGGAGAAAGTTGATACATCTGTTAGCATTTAAATTGCTTTTCATGTAATCTTGATCAGTTTTGTATGGTTTTTTTTATCAGTTATTTTAATCTACTCTTCAGAAGTTGGTACTGATGAAGGAATATACAGCCATATGTGGTTGGAAGGGGGCATGATAAAAAAGTGCTGTGCTTTCTGAAAATTTTCTACACTTTTCCAACATTACCTCAATTCCTGTAGAAGTAAAATCTTCTTGCCATTCATCCCGGTTGACCTATTTTGCTGTCATTTTTAAAGTAATTTGTTCTTGTGCTAGATATGCATGAAATATTTGTCACTTGACTTTCAGCAAAAACAATTGATACTTGAATTCTTGTCATATATGGTTTCTGTTTATCTGTCAATAAATAAAACTGAAATAATAAAAGACTTGCCTTTCCCCTTTGTAGCTTTTCCTTGTTTTGATTTTTTAAAAATGTTTATTGCTATCACAAATTAAATGGCAATTAAAAGTAGAAAAATTGCTTCCCAAGTTGGAATTCTTTGAACTTTGTATACATTTGCTTTTAGAATAAAAATGTAGTATCATTAGTGGAATTTTTATTTTTATATTTCTAAAAGTGGGGCTATGTTGCATTCACAGAATGACGTTATAGTTGATCAGCAGCCTGAAATTGATGAGTTGTAATCAGGGCTTCCAAAAAATATTTGTGCCAGCCGGACATTTTTTGTCTTATCCCGATTTTGATCCCTTAAGACTATGTAACAAAAGGCAATCATGCTAATCAGTTGGGCATCATATAAACAATGAATGATTGACATAAAAACGATATTAAACTTCCGACTTTTGATACAAATTCGCTGTACTGACGTAAACTTAAATTGACAGAGCATCATTCGAAGTGTGCAACATTAGCATACTAATATCTGCCTTAGAATCATTATTTGTGCAAAATTACGTTTTCAAAATCATCCCTGTCAAAATCTTTACTTTCGTTTTTGAAGGTACATTTTCTCATACCGGATATTGACTTTACAATGGTATAACACGGACCAGAGACGGATACGAAAAATCCGTGTACGTTTAAAAGCACAATCGAGTTTAAGTAGCTCCTTCCAACGTTAATTCTTCAAGAAAATACTTGAAATGAACGTTAGATAAAGGTATCAATGATAATTATAGTTTTTTTGAAGAATTTGGATGCATAATTAAATCTCACAACTGCGCACATGTGTACTTTGTTCAAACAACGTGGTCCTGATGATTTTTTCGCTTAAAAACTTTATAACTACCTTTTAAAAATTATCATCAAATCATATTCATATACATATTTTTGATAATTTAAATCTTTTTGATTAAACTAATTAGATGCAAACCGCTGAAATTTATAAAAATAACTTCAAATAGACTGATCAATGTCCGGTACATATTAGTTTACCTGTTACCTGAACAGGTAAATTTCAACTGTCTGACAACTAATTAACCTTGATTGTAATGAGAGGGTATTAAAGTAGGATTTGTTTTGATAGTACTTATTCACCATGTCACTTTTATGACCGGAAATGTGGCTGTTTAAGGCAAAAGGTCGGGTCAAAAAGATCGCTAAAACTTCATTTTTTTTCTGAATTATGTTTAAAGGGAAACTTCGCAAAAAAATGAAAAATTCAAATTCTGTTCATTATGTATAAAAAAGCACAAATTCATAGATATTAAAGTTTTATTCTGCAAGTTAAGAGATCACCATCGATTTTAAATTTAGAGTATCAATTCTCCGCATGCGGCCATTTTGACATCCTCCCCGAATATTGACCACGATATATCTATAAACCACAAAGGACCAAAACAAGCAGTAACCTTACGTAGCCGTAATTGAGTGTCGATATCTTGTCAAGCGTACGGTTGTTTTATCCGACAAGGAAAGCAGTTTCCCGGGTCACAAAAAAGATTATGATAGACATGGTTGTGCAACCTTTCCTAACTAACTTGATACGGAAAATGTAATTTTATATATATTATTTTTTAAATAACTAGTACTAATAGTGTGGTCTGTCGTTTTGAAACTGTTTTGTTTACGAAGTATTTAAAACAATAAATTGAAATTAGTTAAAAAGTCAAAGTTATAAATAAGTGTTCCGTGTAAAATTGTTTTTGAAAATCTAGTTTGTTCATAATTGTTTTATGTAATAAACTTTTTAAAATAAATTCGGACCTTCCCTTACCTGATCACCAGAATGGCTAAAGGAATTGTTCCCAGAGGTATTGTGAGGTGACACGTACAGGTATTCAAGCGATTTCCTGTCGGGCTTTAAAACTGTTATTACACAATTACATAAAACAAGTTCGTGCATCACTTCTTTTCTGGGGGTATTGATCAGTGTACACGGCCGATAACATGTAACTTCCATTTTGAATCTATCAGGTGTAATATACAACTTTGTATAGCGTATCCGATAGTGATATACTAGTCATTGCTAAACTCATACGCTTGTTTATAAATAACATTTTTGGTGTAAAGAATGATATTTATGAAAGTTTAAATAATAAAAAAAAAAAATTTGATGAAATAAAAATCTATTTACACATTTTCCAAGGGTAAATTGGGGAAAATGTAAGTATATTTACCCGTTGTCAATAATTATGGACATTTTGAAACATACAAATATTGATTTAACAAAATGTACGGCACTTGTCGATCATTGGTTTATACGCCTAGATGGAAGGATTAATACGGAACTATGGATAGTCGCAATATAGAACTAATATCATACAAGTATATTGAATATACGAGAGAAACATCCAGAACCAATCTGATTTAAATACAGGTCGATATCTAACTTTCTTTGGTTCATCGAAGCTATAGACATAGTAAAATCACAGATTTATATTTCAATAAGATTATTTCGAACAGTTTAAGAAATTCGTCATCATCACATTTTCCTGGTCCGACATGCATGTTATATATATTTGCCACTGGACGTGCACTAATGATCCCCAAAAGCCTATTTGAAGAAATAAAGAAACTTCACTCCGGATAGACTGATGGTAGTTGTATTAACGTCTGGTCAGCTAGAGGGTTGATTTATTTATTTAGTTAGCTTGTAGGGGATTTAACCACTCTTAATATTGCACTTATGCATTAGATATTAAATGACAGTACCGGTAATATAAGAGAAAATATAAATACGAAAAGTCGCATATCTGATAGAAAAGGACTCACCATGAACTATAGGATTGTACGTACGATTGTCATTCTAAATGGCATAACGGACAATCATTTAAATGCATGCATGTACGCTGTGATAAAAAGGGGTGTCGTAGTTGCAAAGTATTCATCATAAATATATTTCAAATTTATTATTTCCTGTTATTTTTATAAGTTAACGCAGAGACATGTATACACTAGATCTCTATTTAACGACAAGCAACTATATAAATATCTGAATCTGATGTGACTTACCGTTCATCTCTTTCTTTTTTCTCATTTTATTTTTATTTTTGCAGGAATATACACATTGTAAGATATACTGTGCCTCGATTTTTGGGGGGGGGGGGGGGGGTCTGAGGTCATGTCTATCTATCTATGATTAACCTTGACATTTCCGGGTATAACAGAGCTACTTGTATATTACCTGAATGTGGTTAGGTGACGTCCCATGAGGTCTTACGTATACATGTTCATATTTATAATGGTTTCTGATATAACAATTAGGTTTTATAACATTCACACTTCTGCATGTTCTGTATACCAAATTCGTATCTTTTTTTCAGACCAAATGAGGATGTGAATATTTTCCAGCATCAAATTCATTTCGGGATTTTTTTTATTTCTTTGTATTAAATCTCAGAAATTTACAGAATATACTGCTTGTCCGCTTTAGGAGTTTTCTTGTCAGTTTAAACAGACGTATATATGTCTCTGGTTTAGAGTGGGTTTATGAATGAATGATAAGTCTTACAAAGGTACAAGATATCAAGCACATTGAAAATTGATTTCGACGTTTTCTGTCTCCATTTAAAAAAGGAAAGTTGACGTTAGATTGATTCTGTTATTTTTTTTAAACATCGTTGGTCAAATAGCTTAAGAATTATATAAATACGTTGTGAGATTTATAATATTTTAATAAGGGCATTCCTGATTAGGTAAATGAAGATCGCTTTGGACGACAAAACTATATTTTTGTAACTGATAATTTTCTCTGCACATTTAAATATTCAAGGTTACCGATGATAATTTAAAATAGTACTGTTTTGATATATACGCTAGTTTTCGTGTGCCATTTATAATATTTATATAATTATTTTATTAAAAGTGATTCAGAATTTCGATGTTACAACAAAATACTCACCTATTTATTTAAAAACTGAGCAAATGCAAAATGTTAAAAAAATATATATATAACGGCGATTAAGGTATTTTGCCACTATATTCCTCCCTTAATAATTAAAAAAAATCTGTCTCATACCTGCAACGGTGAACCCTTGAGGACAAACACCACTCTAGTGAAGATCAAAGGATTAACATTACATAATGCTAATCTTTTAATTACCGTGAATTTAACCACGCCTTTACCAGGTGGTGTCAGCATAATACACATGCATTGTATTTACACAGTACTAGACTGATGCAAGGATTTGTATAGTAAGACAAATCCTCGACTGAAGTAATAGGGGAGAATACAAACGTGAATTTCTATTATACTATCAGTTATATATGTTGTTCAAAATATCCGTCGAAAAAAAAATCATAAAAAAAATCTATTGTATGATTTGCTTTTATTACTATAATCATATCAGAAACCCTAAAAATATAAATCGTAAATTTTAATTTAAAAAAAATGCACGGCTAATCACTTTTCTTTCTGAATTGTTAGTTGGTTAATAGCTACACCAAAAGTCGTTGATGCGCTTTAAATCGCGTTATTAGATGATTAACGAACAAGACTTTAAATGAGATTAATCCACTCCCGGCATGCAAAAAGACTTAAACTACGTCACATAAGTCAGGAAGTTTGAATAAATAGAATTAATAATTCCCAATTTTCTTCTTTATTAGTTTTCATATCCAGATAAAACTTGGTGAATATGATTTTAATGGTATTATGAACATAATAAGATGATAAGTAAAAAATCGCGAATTTTCCCTTTAAATGGGAAACCTACGTTAAACGTCCGTTTCAGGTTTGGCACAACAAGTCATATTTATAATTTATCGGTCATGTCCAGAAATTAGACTGTTTTGGAAGCTCTGGTTGTAATGTGCGAGCACTTAACAGATCTGTTAGACACCAACTTATTATTTTAAAAAGACAAATCAAATTTTTCAGTATGATAATGCAGAATTAACATAAGAAAAACTCTTAAAAATTTGCGTCAAACTTTTCTGAATTGGACCTTTAAAATCAATTGGACACCTACTATCTTTTTTTTTTTTATACTTTAACTTCCAGTGGGGGTATTGAAAATATTACCCAGAATGCTTTAGATTCTGAAAAGTTTAATTATTTTATAACTAAATAAAGAACTGCTGAACCAACACCTCCTATGTTTTGTGCTTGTCGAGTTCCCTTAAGTGGATACCAGATGGTATGCAGGGTTGTCAGATAAAAATTTAAATACTGCTACTGAAGTAAACTGCATATTTTATTGGTCAACATGTTTTGCCGATAAGATTGTCATCTTCAGGACAAAGTTATTTTATAATTGTATAAAATACAACTTTTTAATAACAGTTTGTGTATCTTTTAGTTGATTACTTGAAGTACTTCAGTAGAGAAGTTGTCTTAGAAAAAATAGAGGACTCTGGGAAAAGTCTAACACAGACAGCAATAGATGATGCTGTGGTTGCCATGACTACACAGTTTGGTGTTTCCAAGGTTTGTTTAGTGAGATTTGTGTACAGTTTGATACTTAAAATCAAAATATATGCTTTGGCACCTTCTTTTTGAGGGGGAAGGTTGACTTTATCCTTTTGAAATGTTTTTTTTCTTTTCTAGATAACATTATATGCATTAAATGGTAAAAAAAGATTAACAATGTTTTAAAAACTCTCATAATATTATTATGTTATGAAACAATTGATGTTTAATTTTCAGAATGATTTGGAAGCAACTGGACCATGTCCAAGGCCAGAGAACATGAACCGAGGTCTCTTAGAGCAATTAATGGAGGCCCGTGGGCTGAATACCTCTGGTGACCTTTCTGAACTCATCCAAAGATATACAGAAGATGATAAAAGTGTGTATTTGAATCAATCTTCAATTCTTCTTGATAGCCAACGTTTCTTTAAAATAACAATTTCAATTATGATAAATAAACAACCTTAGTTAGAAATGTTACATAGTAATGATGATTTAATAATTTAATAATGTTATCTGAAAACTGATGTCTGTCAATTGAATTATTCCATGAGCAGAATCATTTTTACTTTCAGCTTGTACTACAAATGGAGTCAACATCACTCTTCCAGAATCTAACAGTACCAGTCTATATTATATGATTGATACCAGTTGTTACAGACTGGATGCCTGTGTTGAAGTGCCTATTACTGGTTATAACTTCAGTAAATCACTCAAAGCTTACCTTGAACTGGATCCCTGTTCACTTGTTATGAGGGCTGGATTTGAAACAAAACAGCAGACTTTCATCATGGTCAATTATGAATGGGGTAGGAATATGGAAATATATGATATGTCTTCAAAGTAATGCAGACAAATTTTCATTTTGCAGTTAACTTAGTTTCACAATAATTTTTTATAAAGTTAAAGAAGTATAAAAAAATTTTGCTTTGATCTTTTTGTGTGATACTTTTCTATCTTAAGCTACTTCAATGATTTTTCTCAGTTGAGTAGAGAACAGGATGACGTCATAAGCAAAATTCACTGATGTCACCTAGAAAAATATTGATAACGTAATTATCTTGGATCTCTCTATCTAGAAACTCCCTCTTGTATTCAAAACCATAGATTATCTGTAAATTCATATTATAATACATAAATGTATTCTTTAGGAATTACAGACTTCCAATTTTTACATAACAAAATTGGGAATTTATATTATTTCTCTTCAAAAAGTGTGGGAAGGCATATCACTTATTATTTTCTTATTGTAGGTAAAGATGAAAAAGTACAGTTGACTTCTGATCTTCTAATGAGGTAATATTATCAATAAATGAAGTTGTGGAATGTAAATCAGTGGGACAGCAAGCTATAATAGATATAAGAAGATGTGGTATGAGTGCCAATCAGACAATTTTACTCTCCATCCAAGTCACAATGTATAAAAAGTTAACAATTATAGGTCAAAGTACGGCCTTCAACACGGAGTCTTGGCTCACACCGAACAGCAAGCTATAAAGGGCCCCATAAAATGACTATTGTAAAACCATTCAAACGGGGAAAACAACGGTCTAATCTATGTAAAAAACAAGAAACACTTATGAACCACATCAAACAAACGACAACTACTGAACATAAAATGCAAAACAATAATATAGAAAATGCACTAAGCTGTAAAGTAAATCCACTCCTTATGCATTTGCCATTTATCAAAAACATTTAATATTTTCAGGTTCAAAGTAGAGAAAAATGGTGTTAATTACAACGTACATTTTGGGATGAGAGTATGTCCTGGTGGTGACTGTGTGGTTGATGAAACATTTATAACCGGACTACAGATCCCTGACCAAGATTGTGGAGGGGCTGTATTCCTGCCTGGTATGTTTTCTTGACAAATGTAGCAGAATGTGAGACATAGGCATGCTAATCTGGCAGCCACGTCAACGACAACAACTTTGTGCCAAGCTTATATTTTAGAAAGTAGAAGAGCTTGGTTATTGTAATTTTAGAAATTATTGCGATTTTTGAAGAATGGACAAAAATATGAGATTAATTATTGCCATCTCGGCTAAATCTGCATACAGATATATGTATCAGATTCAATTTTTGGTATTAGACTGTTTGTCATGATGTTGGATCATCAAATTAGAACTTAATGCATGTATTCATTGTAATATGAACATTTTAAGATATACATCAAATTGATTTTTGAATCTATATTTTTATGAATCTCTGAAAATGTTTATGATAGTGTAGTGGGGCATGGTTTTGCTATAAACACATTGCATTGACTGATATGGTTGCTTAACATCCAGTGGAAAATATATCATGTCTATTTTGCATCAAATGAACAAATGTAGACTGATTTTGATAAAAATGAAAGATAAAATTAGAATGAGATAGTTTCAGTGTCTTCCCTAGAAAATATTTTATGCATGGTTGGTCCATGGTGAATTTGCAACGCGGCGCACGTCGCTTCTTTTTCAGAATTAGTTACACTACATAATTTATATGTTTAAAGCCATATACAAATCTAATTGTTTTATTATAGGTACAGCAATTCATATAAGTCATGGAACTTTAAAGTATTTATTACAGATGAGAGGAATTAATGAAAGACCTTATAAACAATAATAAAAATAATCTAGTATGCAATAGTTATTTACAAATTAATGCCATGTACACATTATTTTGTTGATATCTTCCACTGTTTCAACTTTCCAAAGGTCACCACACATTTTTCAAAATCAAAATCTTCCTCCTTTGGTCCTTCAATTGATATATGCATTAAGCAATTCAGCACTTTTTGGCATGTCTGTTTCTCAAAAGTGTTTTAACTCTGTTTAAACATGAAAAACACCTTTCATAATCAGCTGTTGAAACTGGAAAAACAAGACCAATTGCTGCATACTTAGACAGACAAGGATACAAAGTTCCAAGACTGGCCACTTTGTTCATTGTCTGCCTAAAAGTCATGTCTTTACATTCTTTCACTAACAGTGTCCTCAGTTTGCTGATAGAATGGTTTCGGCATCAACAGCAAGTTGTTAAATAAAACTTTGAATGTCATCATTGCTTCACAGAGATTTTACAGGAAACAATAAAAAAAAAAATTATTTGCGTTAATTTAATACAGAACTTCACAAGTCGTCAATGAAGAATACCTGACATACAGACATACGGACATACGGATGACATATTTGGGAATTACCTGTTTGGAAGCTAAGCTGACATTTTATTTCATGACAATTAACTATTTTTCTTAAATATATCCCTGTCCGATTTATTTATAACGCTTCATAATTGTAAAAATCCTATCTTGCCGAAGTGAAAGAAATTTAGCCCCACTTGTGTAAAATACGGCAAATGAATCTGCTACACTTAAGCTCCATGTGACCCATTGAAATTAAAATAGAACAACACAAGTTTATTAAAAACATTATTTCCGTAAATAACTACGTATATTTTGAAAGTTTTTTCTATCAAATCTTTTAAATATTTCATAAGACACGTCTTTTTCACGGCCATGGTGGCGGTGATGTGTATTCTTTGATATAATCAATCAACTGCGACTAATCTAAAAATAACTGATTGTTGTGACCAATCAAAAAATTATTCATCGATGTAAATATAGCTGATGAAAAAATTGCGAAACTTTATTAAAAATAGTTTTGTCCATTCTCGGTGAAATTACGTTAGTTTTATTTTATAATGCCAGAGACTATATCAAAATTTCTACTTTTAAAGATCATAGTAAAATAACGATGACAAACAACGGGGGCTGTTTTAAGGTGAAATTTATACTGGAAAAGGTTAAACTTTTTATTTAGCACAGAAAGATATGCATTGGAGATTAATCTGACTATTTATTTATCAGGTAACTGGCAACTTCTATTATGTAACTGAAGTCTCGATGTATAACCAACTAATCAAGAAGGTTGTAAAATCCAGGCACGCGCGACGTGAAGCATCCAATTATCAGTTGGATGAGTTTAAAACACATGTTGAGTGTTGTCACTTGTCACTTCACTTTCAAGATATCAATAATAAATATTTTACACAGTTATAATTTTCACACATAGCGGGATGCATTGCGGCAATGATGAAAGCATGGCGGTCGAAATTTATGCGTAGCGGTACCGCAACGCTTGAATAGCCTAGGGAAAACACTGAGTTTGCGCTTTGATTGAAATCTATATTCCAAACTGCAGTGGTTTGAAAGTCAACTGCATTAACTTTTTCACACTTTTTTTTATTATTGGTGATTTCCTTGTAAATTATAATAAATATAAATTGCATTTTGCTTGGGGAAAAAAAGCTAGAACTTTATATTTTACTATTATTTTTAAGTACTTTGAAATATTTTGCAGGTGAGGGGAGTATAGCTGACTTTGTCCAACAGTTGGGTGGTACAATGACTGTAGAAGGATTTGATGTGATCTTAGCACAGTTTGGTGTAACTGTAAGTCTACCATTTGAAAGAACATTAATGACCTTTTTTTCTGCACCAGATTGATAATTATTGAAATAAAGTGTAACTACAGTCAAATGACTAGTTCTTTTCATCAGTCATTTTAAGTATTTCACTGATATATTTTGGTTTTTATTCCTCAAAAGAATTGGCCTGACTCCTTCAACTGTAGAATACCTAAAAAACAGGCATTCAAAGGAGTTGTTGCATTGCAGTATATTGATTGCTCGATCAAATCCATAGAATATTAGATTAAATACATTAATGACATGTAGAAGAGATGCATTAGGTTCTCCAAAGAGATTTTGTAAAGTTGGCCATAATAAATGATCCAGAATTTTTCCTTATGAAATCAACATTTTACTTTGTTTTATTTTTGTTTCAGAGTGTTTTTCAGAATGAAATTAGTTGTGAGCTGCCAGAAATACAAAGTAAGTTTTGTTTTCAACAGTACATTTTTTCAGTCTTCGTGTTGTAAATGGAATTGTTGCATAGACTTCTTTTCATTTAGGTATTTTCTAAAATGATTTCAATGCATAAATGCATGTTTTTAGGAAATTAACAATTTAAAAAGGTCTATTCAATATGATCTCAAGTGATTATGTGAAATATCTTGAGTTTGTGGAAGACCTTGGTTCAACCCTGGCCAGATCAAATGAAAACTTGAAATTTGTTTTTGTTACTTCGCTAAACCTGCAGTATTATGAAAAAGAGCCAAGACTGGGTAGTTCAAAGGCAGTTCAAATTGTGTCAGGGGAGGGTGACATGTCTTCATGCAGAATTCATGCCACTGTGCAGAAACATCCATCACCACTGAATAAGGCAAATATTTTTTTATTTAGTTCTTTATATTTTAAATATTTCTTTTCAGATTGTACACATGACATAGATGAGCAAAGTTATCTCCCCTTGGATGTGGCTGACATGTTGCAATGTGAGATGCCACAAGGCTGTGGTGGCTTAGACTGTTGTATGGATCTGTCATTCCAGCTGCCACTAGGTGTCGACACTGTGACATACTCTAACATGACATTTTGGTACAGATTTGATTCTTGTAACTTCACAATTGAAGTCGGACTTGGAACATTTACATACAGAACTGTTTTATTGGATTATGAATGGGGTAAGTCAATTTTCATGTAAAATAAAGATATTAAATTTGATTATGGTATATTTTAGTTGCTCTTCAATAGACAGATAGAAAGGGTGCAAAACTATTTGATTTATATAATTTTTTTTATATGCCCGTTTACGGGACGTATTATGGTATACCGTTGACCGTCTGTCCGTCCGTCGTCAACATGTCGGACATTAACTCAAAAAAGCTTTAACAAATATGCATGAAACTTTGGTGAATTGTTTATATCTATTGACGTGAGCTCCCTTTTGTTTTTTATAAATTTCAGATTTACTGTTTCCGAGTTTTGGGGTTTTATTCATTAAAAAAGGGGGGATTTTCCAGTTTTCCGACAATAACTCAAGAATGCTTTCACCAACTTGCAAGGAATTTTGGTGAATTGTTTATATCTATTGACATGAGCTCCCTTTAGATTTTTATAAATTTTAGATTTTATGTTTCCGAGTTGCATGGTTTTATTCATAAAAAAAGGGGGATTTTCCAGTTTTCGGACAATAACTAAAAAATGCTTTCTGCAGTTCTCATGAAACTTTGGTGAATTGTTTATATCTGTTGATGTCAGCTCCCTTTAGAATTTTATAAATTTTAGATTTACATTTCTGAGTTATGGGGTTTTATTCATTAAAAAAGGGGTGATTTTCCAGTTTTTGGACAATAACTCAAAAATGCTTTCAGCAGTTCTCATGAAACTTTGGTGAATTATTTATAGCTATTGATGTAATCTCCCTATTGATTTTCATAAATTTCAAATATGACATTGAGAAGAAATTGAACTTTATTTGTTTATAGTCTGACAACAGATTTACTAAGTATTGCACAACAGCAAGAAATCTTTAATTGAAGATAAATTCAATTGATATAACCAATTTCAAGTTCTTTGACTACATTTATTCAGAAACCTATAATATGTCAAATATTTAATTACAATCCAAATTCAGACCTGTATCAAGCTTGAATATTGTGTCCATTTTTGCCCAACTGTTCAGGGTTGGACCTCTGCGGGCGTATCCAGCTGCGCTCAGCGAAGCAGTTTTTATGAATTGAAATTAAAAAAAAAATAACAATTATTTCTTCTCCTAGTCAATATTCCTCATTAGATAAAGCTACGGTAAAAAATAACAAAATTTGCCTTTTTCTCCATCATTAATATATATGAAAAAAAAAAACATGGGAGCAATAACATCAGAAGAATCCTTAAAAGTTCAACATAAAATATCAAAAATTAATTTTATTAAGAGACAAAGATTTTGTAAAAGGTATGATATTTCTCAACAGAGCATAATCAAAGTGTATGTATATTAATAGTAACCTGAAAAATAATCTATTTCAATGTTATGTTATATTTTTTAAATTGCAGGTCAAGTTTCTTCATTCAACATAGGTGTAGGAACGCCTTCTCCAGTACAAATTCAGTAAGTTCAGTAAAGCCTGAAAAAAGAAGATCATATGATGGTACTGTGTCATACCAGAGGTCCATTCAGTTTAATAAATGTATATTATAATTTTTTAGGAAAATAATATCACCAACTGATAGAGAGGAATAATGTTTTGACACAGTAATATAATAAAATCATAAGATCCACTTGATTTCGGTCAACATCTAGTTTCAAAAATATTGGGCATATGTTGAATTTTTTTTTATTTTACAAACATTTCATTCACATCTTCAACACTTATTTTTGTTCAGTGATGTGATCAAATTTTTCACTTGTGACAAATTCCTGGAAATACCAACAATTTCATAAACACCTGTTTTCATCAGCAGTTGCATTTGTATATCTTGGATGTCTGTAATATTTAAATTTTGAGAAAATTGTTTTGAAAAACGAATTGAGTAGAATTTTTCCTTTCTTTATACCTCTGAAATAATGTAATATTTTGAAATGTAAATGAATATTTGCAGATATTCAGTTAGCAAGAGTAGTACAGGTTTTACTGTTGACCTGACCCTAAAGATCTGCTTCCCTGATAGTGATGTGTTGTACTGTGTGCCAAGCACAGATGGTATACCTTTAGTAAGAAACCAGTTTTTCCCATTTTGCTTGAAGAATGACACAGATTTGAAGAGTAAGTATAGCATTGATAAATATGATAGAAATACTTACTGTAAATTCAGAAATTATTGTGTGCATTTATTATTGAGTTTGTTGAGAAAAGCTTAAAAAATTAAGATGTTTAAATCAGAAGCACAAAAACACTTTTCACATTTCAGTGTTCAGAAAGTATATGCAAGATTTTTAGTGATTAGAAATTTTTCCTGAACAATATATCCTCAAATAATATGCAAGGTGTTGTGGTGATTTGAATGTGATATGAGCTTTATAGATTTTCTGGATTTATGATAATGCATATTCTCTTTATTGTCCACCGCATAACGCGTTGGGGAGGGGGGGGGGGGGGGGGGGGGGGGGGGGGAGACACGGAAAATACTGTTCGTCCTTCTTAGCACTCTCACATGTACAATTCTTGATAGATTTTTATGAAACTTATTTCATAGGTTTATATTAGCAAGGTTCTAGACGAGTTCGAAATTCAGTTCCGATCAATTATTTTTAAAAGAGTTATGTCCCTTGGAAATATTAATTTTATGGAAAATTGCATTGTTAGCGTTCTCATGTTTTCAATTATTGCCAGATTTTTATGAAACTTATATCATAGGTTTATATTGGCAATGTCTTTGACGAGTTCGAATATCAGTGCCGATCGTTTATTTTTAAAAGAGTTATGTCCCCTTGGAAAAATAAATTGTATGGAGAATTGCATTGTTGGCACTCTCATATGTACAATTCTTGCCAGAAGTTTTTAAGAAACTTAAATCATAGTTTTATATTAACAATGTCTTGGGCGAATTTGAAAATAAGTGCTGATCAATAATTTTTAAAAGAGTAATGCCCCTTGGAAATATTAAATAAATAGAAAATTGCCTTATGAGCGCTTTAATGTGTACAATTCTTGCCAGATTTTTATGAAATTTATATTATAGTTTATATCATCAATGTACTTGAAGATTTCAAAAATCAGTGCCAATGAATTATTTTTAAAAGAGTTATGCCCCTTGAAAATATTAATTATATGGAAAATTGCAATGTTATCGCTCTCATGTGTTCAATTCTTGCCAGAATTTTGTGAAACTTATATCATAGGTTTATATCAGCATTGTCTTTGACACTTTCGAAAATAAGTTGTGATCATATATTTTTAACGAGTGATGCCCCTTGGAAATATAAATTATAATGGAAATCACATTGCATTTTCTCTGAAGCCTTCATTTCTCTTAGATATTAATAAAAAGCTATAAGGAACAAAAAAGAAGTGTGTTTTTTTTAGTTATTGCCCTTGTACCTTGGATAGATAAAATATGTGCAACACGGGGTACATTGGAACTCTGTTCTTTTTTATGTTTAATTTCAAATGGAAAACCAAGAAATATAGCTAATTGAAATAAAAGTAATTAGGAAGTGGCAAATTTGGCCAACTGTTAAAAACCTTTTTTCTTTCATAGCTTTCACTTACAATTAAGGAAATAATACTATTTTTGGGGGGATTTGCTGGCACCTATTTGTGATTTAATGGTCACAATTTGAGTTTACTGGCTCATAAACACCAATTTCTCATAACTACTGGAATTAGGAGCTTTGCATTATATATTCAGTCATTCTTATCAAATATACATGTTTTTGTGAAGCATTTATTTTTTTTCATAAAAATTTTTTCTCAAGACTGCCAAAGTATTTTTCATAACTGAATGGTTAAATTTTAATTTTTCAGATTTTTCCTTGACTGCCTGGGTCAAGGAAAGAGGATTGGATATAAACGATTTATCTGGATCAGCAATACAATTCTTGCTGGAAGAACTGGGGATAGCTGAGTATTTCACTGGAAATAAGTGTGACTACACAAGGAGTCCTTACATGCCAAGTATTCTTGGGTGGAAAAATGGTTTGTATTTTAGTGGTTTTATCAGAGGAAAAGGGTAAAAATGGGGAGACACAAAGTATCTTGAAGATAAAAAATCTCTTAAACAATTTTGCCAATTTTTCCCCTCAAGACTGAATAATGAAAAATTTGTTTTGACAAGACCTCAAAAGTATGATTTGAAAATTCTTTGAATAACATGATTAATTGTTAAAAGTTATTTATGTCACCAAATTTTTTTTCAAGATCAATTTTACATCATTTTTATATAATGATTGATTAGTTATTGAATGTACAAAATAACCATTGTGTTACAGTACCAGACATGGAAACTATATTAATATAACTTGACCTAATAAATCTTTTTCAGAATGTCCATTAAGTGTGTTTATGTTACCAGACATAGTAGACAAACCAGGTCGATGTCACTTCCTGGAGAGTTGTACCACCATTGAATGTTGTACTGATGTACCTTACCTTGGACTGACTTTACATACAGTGTTTACTATTGACCCATGTGGATATGCAGTCAATGTGGCTATAAATAGTCTTCAGACATCTAAATCACTGTTTACTTATGAGAGAGGTTAGTCATGTTTTGATGCTTACCTTATATAATGTAAACAAAGCTATATTGTTGTATGCTCTCTACACTAAAGAAAAAACACTCAAAAATAAGATGTAATATGATTGCTAATGAGAAATCTATCCTCCAGAGTTCAAATGTGGGTAAAGCAATTGTACGGCCTTGTGAAACAATTTACCAAAAACAAATATGGCAAACATGAAACAATGACAATCAATGAACTTCAGGCTAATGACATGGGACAGGCACATACAGAATGTGCCGGAGTTAAATACTTCTGAGCATTCAACCCTCACCTAACCTGGGACGGTGTAACAGCACAACATAAGAACAAACTGTAAAAATCAGTTGCAAATGGCCTAACTCAATAGATCTGTATGAAGAACAAAAAAACCCAACTAACATAAAAACATTAGACACAATGAATTCATTTTACTTTTAACAAATTATGTAACGAATCCCATACTTGGAAGTTTCTTATGTCATTTTTGTCTCGCCTTGACAGAGTCAAAAAGCTAGACATAGTTATGCTGTTTCCGGCGGCGGCGGCAACAATGTATTAGTTTGTGATTAGGTCTAGTTCATGGTGAACCACTAGTGGTAGGTCAATGATATTTGGTATGCAGTTGTATTAGCATTGGCACATCTCATTACCATGGAGATTATTTGGCCCCGCCCCCTCAGTCAAGGTCTATTGACTTTGAAACTTTTCATAGTTTACATGTATTAGTTTGTGATTAGGTCAGTTTATGAGGAACCACTAGTGGTAGGTCAATGATATTTGATATGCAGTTGTATAAGCATTGGCATATCTCATTTCCATGGAGATTATTTGGCTCCGCCCCCTTAGTCATGGTCTATAGACTTTGAAAATTTTGCTAAGTTAACATGTATTAGTTTGTGATTAGGTCAGTTCAAGGGGAACCATTAGTGGTAGGCCAATGTTAATTGGTGTTCAGTTGTATAAGCATTAGCACATCTCATTTCCATGGAGAATATTTGGCCCTGCCCCCTCAGTCATGGTCTATTTACTTTGAAATTTTTGCTTAGTTTACATCTATTAGTTTGTGATTAGATCAGTTTAAGATGAACTGCTAATGTTAAGTCAATGATTTTTGGTATGCAAATTTATTTGCATTTGCAAGTATCGTTTCCATGAAGATTATATAGCCCCATAGTTTACAAGTTAATGTTTGTGTTTAGGTTTGTTTAAAGGGAACGACTTATAATAAGTCAATGGTATTTGGTATGCAGTTGTATTAGCATTGGCACATCTCATTCCATGGAGATTGTTTAGCCATGTACCTTCAGTCATGGTTCATCGGCTTTGAATATTTGCATAACTTACATGTTAAAGTATTGCTATTTTAGCCATGTACCTTCAGTCATGGTTCATCCACTTTGAATATTTGCATAACTTACATGTTAAAGTATTGCTATTTTAATTTCAACATTTGCATTATCAAAATTACAAAAAGGCGAGACATATCTCTGTGATAACAGTTTATCAATACTAAGAAGACTACACTTAAAACCATTCAAAAGAACTGTGAACAGGAAATCATTTACGATACCATGCAATTATTTGGTGATATGTATTGATGTCATCATTATCATTCAAACAAAATAATATGAAACTTTCTGAAAATGATAATTGATTTTAAAGAAAATAATCATTCTATAATAAAGTGTAACTCAATGAAAAAGTTTTGTTTAGTTTTTTGTAATGTTTGTTTTTTTCTTTTTCAGGAAAGACAGAAAGATTGACTATGGCAAATGGAGTGATACAGCTAGGGTAAGTTGTCTAGAGAGATTTGAGAATAAATTAGAAAAATATTTGGGTGCATAATAGACATTTTCAACTACCCGACAATAAATTCATAAATCATAATTAGGCGACATTTTATGAATTCAA